TCCTCGTTCCATCATTGAATACCGAGATCTTGATGCACCCGAAGAGATGGACTTGTAAATTCACCGTGATTAAACGCCATGAGACACACCATAATCTTTACCATGGAACACAACATGAAATAAACATGGTAGACACCACAAACAGATACACTAATGTTTCATTGATAGGCCAGGTCACACAAGTCCACAAGTCACGATGCAATAGTTTTATCAATATTGGCAAATAAATAATCAAATATGATATTCTTAAGTCTATGTGATGAAAAAATATAAGAATCAACATGGTTTTCTTGAATCAGTAAGGAGTCGACTGTTCAAAAATGGTATATGTGAGGGGATCTTGTTTATCTAAATACCATATATTTGAAAACAAACTGTCAAACTTAGTACAAGATAGTACAAAAACTGGTGTAACTTGTATGCTTTACAACAGTCTTGTCAGTGCTGTAATGCTTTGGAAGCTATGATTGACACTTCACTGCAGCTCAAGCTTTATATTGTTACACCCCTGGGCCTACATTTTCGAAGCTCTCTTAGCGCTAAGATCGTCGTAAGTTAATGCTAATGTTAACGACTATCTTAGCTCTAAGAGAGCTTTGAAAATCTAGGCCCTGGTGAAGCAACATCTCATATTAAGATTAAATGGTAATGTTCCATACAGATTAGTATCATGATAATCACCACACCATCGCTGTAAATATTTACCACTGGTCATCTTGTCATAGGTTTTAATATTTTTAACAGTTGTTTATCCTTTCTGTTATCCTGATTACACAATCATGATACAGCACTGCATTTATGTTTGTAGTAGCCATATTGTAATAAATGGATTTTATACAAACCGACATTGTTGTGTTATGGAGAAATGATTTTGCGATTATTCATTGTGGATTCTGGGTAAGGACATTGGTTTCTTATGCATGTTAGAGGGACAACTAAATGGATGGGTTAGGCTCAGAGACTTGTTCATTGGCGTGTCGCAGTACCCCATCAGTGTGGAGCAATGCTTATGGTGCCGATAATAATAATTGGCCATTTATATAGTGCTGAACTCCACGCTGCAGGGCATACAACATGAGGTCATTATTACCCTTGTTAACCCAAGCTGCCTTTGAGGCACTAGGAATGTTAATAGTCATATGACTTATACCACCAGATACTCTTTTTCTGATGGGTGAACAGAGGCAACTTTGAACAAACTCACTTGCTGTAGGTGTGACCACATAGGTTCTTCGTTGGGGGGCAGGACAGAAGTCCTAGAATCTCTCAGCAGTCAAGCTGCCAAACATGGTCATCCATCCAAGAGGTCTCCTTGACGTTGCTTAACTTCACCTGATTTGTGACCAGGGCCCGTTCCTCAAAGAGATCGTAGCGCTACGACAGTCGTAAGTCTATGTTAAAGTATGGGAGTTACGACTGTCGTAGCGCTACGATCGCTTTGAGGAACGGGGCCCTGCACACTATGTACAATACCACACGCCACACCAATCACGTTGTCACAGGTTTCACAGAGATTGTATACGCCAAGTGACCTAAACTGCTTGAGTCCAGTGATCTGTCTGACTGACTGGTTTGTTGTCGCCATGAAAGATGGTTCTTACAGCAGGGCAAGGTTGGGAAGATTTCAACATACAGAGAACAGTGGAAATATACTATTCACACTTGGCTAATGATCAAATCATAGATTCAACAGAAAACTACGATGTGGGATCAATTTTGGTTTAAATATCTAAGCTTGTTGTAAGCATGGATCCTAGGTTTCAGTATGTCATTGCATCTTGTGGATCCCATACCTGCTATTGACATGTGTTGTTTGTTTGTGAATGACATGTTCCCTGATTTGCAAAATGGACGATTGGTGCCATGAAAACCATTTTATAGTTACTCATGTATCAAGTGCATAAGGTTAGATTAAAGTGGATGTTTGCCTAAAGAGGTGTTACCATATTATTATTTATCCAGTTTTAAATGGATACAGTTTCAATTTATAAATCTACGTTTCAGTTGTAAAGTTGTGAATTTTTGTGATCCTTAGCAAAGTGTGAAAAGTACACTATGAACTGTTCAGTATTGGCTGTTAAACACTGGACATCCATACAGTTAGAGCAAGTCGTTCAATCCTCATCCGGCAGATACCTGCTGTCATGCCTTTTTCACAACCTGAGGACAGTGTTTATTCCAACCCTACCAGCTGATAATTGAGAATCCGTGCCTTGTGACTGGGAGGGTCACTGGGACGCATCATATGGGCTTTGTAATTGATATTTTATTGCTGAAACACTGCTACAAAAGGCAGTAAAGGGTCAAATATCGATAATAATTAATTTATGTTGTATGTAATGCTAGGCGTAGATAACTTCATTTTACAAACCATTGAAAAGGGTGAATGATGCATCATCCTTTTTCTCATGAAAACTGCTGATTTGTTACCAGCCTTGTGAGAATCTTGATCTATTTTTATATGTGATCTATTTGTTGTGTCTGAAATGAATCTTTATTTTTAAAAGAGTTGCATTTTTAAATAAAAAACTACGATGAGGAGACAAAAAATATCAGAGAAAATATCCTGTTTAAAACCTAATAAAGTAAACTAGGCACTGAGATTCATATCCATGTCATGCTGACACTTTTGGTTCATTCAAAACATAAACTGATGCCAAAAATCTCTAACCATCTCTAGCCTATTTCTAGCTTGTGCTTAACCCAGTTGCCCTTGTGGTGTGAGCTCCTTGAAAGGCGAGCGGGGGTGTGATAGCCTAGTGATTCATCACACCGAAGACCCGGGTTCGATTCCACACCTGGGTGCAATACCTGAAGCTCTTTTCTGTAGCTGGTACTGAATTATCTTGTTACTATACTCTTCAAAAGAAAAATAAGAAAGAAAAGAAACTATACATAGGAAAAATTTGAATTTTTGAACAAATATATGACACGCGCATAGCGCACACGCGTCTGTAGTGAATCGCTAAAACGCACCGGACATGAAATGCACCATCCTCGATAATCTCCATGGTATACGTTCCGATAAATCTCCACTATACCCTGGATGCATCTACGGCTCGAGCCGATGATATTATTGCCTCCCTTTGCTGGCTCCGCATTCTCACATGAATATTATTGCCTGTCAGATTTTTTGGGGCGAAATTTTGGGGGGAAAACATACAGACAAATTGACAGGTCTGAAATCTTAAAAAAATACATGCAAGAACTCTTTCTACCTCTTTCAGAGTACCCCTGCAACAATATATTATTGTGTTGCCAAGTTTAATCGGTTAGATAATTTAAAAGCGAAAGTGAGTTGTGATTGGTACGCTCAACTTCCCAGCGTAGACACCTGATTGGATAAAAAGCCAACCAAGGGAGGTAATAAAATCATCGGGCTGAGCCGTAGATGCATCCAGGATGTATTGGAGATTTATCAGAACGTATACCCTGGAGATTATCGAGGATGGAAATGCACGTGCATCGTGAATTGTGTATCACCTTGAGCTGATGCCTATGACTGTAGGCTTTAAAAAGCCACATCAATGGTACTCCACATGCATTGCTTTAAGCCACTATAGACGAAAAGAGAATGAAACGACTGACAGAAGCTCAACGACAAAACGCCATCGGCCGTTTACAAGGACGGGCATCGCACCATGAAGTGGCAAGGCACTTCAGCGTGTCTAGACAGACCATCTCAAACCTATGACAGAACCATGTCAGGTCGACCTAGTGTTACCACCGCCGACCAGGATCGCTACATCCGGATGAGACATCTTCAAACACCACGGCCGCATCATCCACAACAATCCAAATCCCTGGACTGCTCCGAATTTCCGACCAGACAGTGCGCAATTGGCTTTGGGAAGCTAGACTTTTTGCCAGAAGACCAGTTCAACGTTCGTTCATCGTCAACGTTCCTTTTTGGAGCATCAACGCTCACAACGGTTGATCTTTGGAGAAATGACATAAGTGCTCGACAACATGTTGCACGTGGTTGACAGGACTTCCTCCAGCAAACCAATGTTCAGGTGTTATCTGACCTTCTCGATCACCCAATTTGTCCTCCATTGAACATCCATGGGATATTCTTGATCGACGCTTGCACCAGCGTAATCCGCCACCTCTGACACTACAAGAACTGCACACAACACTTCAGCAAGAGTATCCAAACATTCCTCAAGACAGCATTCGGCATCCCTTTTCTTCTATGGGTCACCGCTGCCAAGCTGTTATCGATGCTTATGGTGGTCACACCAGATACTGACATTTTACTCTGACCAAGTGATTTTAATAGCCCTCTGTGGTTTTACCAAACACTTTCTGGATAATCATGTTTTGGAAATTTGTAAGTGATGATTTTAGTGTAATTGAGCAATGATGTCATGTTTGAATCAGTTATAGGCACTCAGTAAGTAAACTCCAAAACAACATGTATAGTTTCTTTTTTTTAATAGTATACTAGGAGTGCATCGCGACCTTAAATGTCTGGGATTTTTGTGTAGACCACCTTTCACTTGCTCGTAATACACTTGAGTTTTTAATGAACCCAGATATGTGTTTTGCGGTTGTGAGACTTTTTCTATTCTGAAAGTGTTCTTTAATTTGTGTTATGAATTAATCATTCTTCATTACTCCAAAAAACAATGTTGATTTACAAGAAAACAAAACAAACATTCTTGGAAAGTTTTCTCACGAAATGTAAACTTATAATCATTTCATATCATCAGTGCACAGCACGTCATCTTGTTCTGTTCTACTAACTATAATCAGTGTAACGTGTTAAATTGGCCATTCGATGAAGAATTCGAGACCAATTTGCAGGAATGTCTGTTTCGACACAGCACAAACTGTGAAACTTCTATTTCACTATTGCTAACATTTTCTAAACAAATCAGCATTGAATAACTGTAATTCTTCCAAAGAAACAATCCTTGAAAGAAATTGCGCAATTCGAACGTGGGATTGTGACATGACAGTCGAAAAACTTATAAATGCTGATACAACACAATTATCTCCCCTTGATCGTGTTTAGAGATGGCGGCAAATAAGGTGCTACACTATAGTATAGTGAACTTAAACATGCCGATGTAGTGTAACATACATCATAGCTGCAAATGACATTCACTTTGATCAATTGTGTAACATTTATATTTATTTTAGGCATAGACATCGTTGCCATTGGTATCAACATTAGCTTGCTTTCGTCTTGTGTTTCGTGTTTCAATACACGTTCTTATAATTTCGTTATATTACGATGCAAGTTCGTTTAATGTTGATTAGTCATAGCGTATTTTAACCCAAATCAAATTACAATGGAACTTTGATTTGTGGTATTTTTTGTTTCCACTGATAAGTTGCCTTGCGTTAACAAACATCCGTACAATATCGGGTTTTCCTGTGTTTACATCTGCAGTGTCAGGATAAACTTTGGAAACAGCTACTGAGTACGTTGGCCAACATTTTTAATACAAATATCCAAGCACAAAGGATCAGGGATAACATATCTTGACCATTTAAAACTAATCCTAAGGATCGAGGAGGCGCCAGAGATAAGTGAAGTGACGCTAAGAAACGTAACACTCCCCCCAAAAAACAAACGTCTTGACGTCTATTTATTTCTTAAGGTATACTGTACAAATTTTTAGTTTGTGAACGCATTCTATTATCACACCAACCTTTGTTTAATTTATTGACTTGGCTGAAAATTAACGAATGCATGGGTAGGGAAATACAGCTATGAGATGCAATGTCTTATTAGACATTTTTCTTGTTATATTCAAGCAGTTTTATGCTAATATGTTTGAAACTATTTTTACTCAGCTTACAAATATTGGGCTAGCCTAATTTGGATCACACCACTAGTGTTCGAAATAGCTACTGGCCCGCTCGCCAAATGCTAGCTGATTGTGAATTGGGCCAGTGATACATTGGTAAATCTATCCCGACTGGCTAGCTGAAAATCTCAGATAATTTGTTCTTTATTTAATGTACATGAATATTATGATGTCAGTTATTGAAGTGTTAAAAGTCCATCCACAAAAGTTTCATAATATTTATCATCTCTTGTCACAAGAGGATCGCTATATAAAAAATGTTAATAGCATTGCGCAAAAGAGGTTAGAACCATTACAATACAAATGTAACGCATAACATCTTCAATTACCAACATCATAGCAATTCTGACCGATGTGCATTTTGAAATTGATATTTTGCAGGGCCAGTGAAGTATGATGTGGGCTAGCAACATTTTTGTTTAACTAGCCCTCCTGCCCAGTGACTTTTCAAAATTAATTCATACACTGCACACCACACATGATGTGACATGATGCAGTTATTGCCTTCACTTAAGGGGTGGGTGGGGGTTTCAGGCGGTTTGAACCCCACTTTTGAAAATGACTTAAGACCACATTGAAGTTCACCTCTAGAAGTGAAATGTATATATACTACTTTCAGGAAGCCATAGCTATTGTGCTGGATGTGGGTCCCTCCATGAACCAGGCACCGCCGGGGGAGGTGTCCTCACTACAGACAGCTATTGATGCCATCACTATGATTCTCCAGAGGAAGGTATTGGACTTCAGGATCCTACATATTAAACTGCGTATGATCAAATACGTGTCCAGTGTACACGCAACATTGTGCGTTAAGACAGAGACCAGTCCAAGCAGACCAGCCAGTATGGTCATTATGACTCATAACAACCCTTTTATCTGATTAAACTGGGACACTGTCGGTCAAAATGGATTAGTGAAACATGGAAATCTACTTTTGTTGTTTACAAGCAGAAATACTACTTTTTTATTTCATATCCTTTGTACCAGTGAAGATCCTTTGTAGTGAGTGAGTGAGTCAGTTTAGTTTTACACCTAACTCAGCAATATGCTAGCTATATAGCATTCTAGCTATATGTTAATTATCGAGTCTGGACCAGACAATCCAGTACTCATCAGCATGAGCATCGATCTATGCAATTGGGATACGATGTCATGTGTCAACCAAATCAGTGAGCCTGACCACCTGATTACATTAGTCGCCTCCTACGACCAGCATGGGTTACTGAAGATCAATTCTCACCCAGATCTTCACGGGTTATCCTTTGTAGACTTGATCCTATTGTAAGAGGCAACTACTGGGATCAGGTGGTCAGGTTCACTGACATGTGCATGTCATTGTATCCTAATTGAATAGGACGATGCTCGTGGTCATCACATCGTTGTCTGGTCTAGACTCGATTATTTACAGACCACCATCATATGGCTTGAATATTGCTGAGATAAGCAACAAACAAACAAATCACATGTTTTATGTTGTTCCAGATGTTCTCTGAGTCTAAGGATGAGGTATCTCTGGTTCTGTTTGGTACTGATGGCACAGACAACCCTCTGGCTGATGGAGACAGCTACCAAAACATCACCATTGCCCGACCTCTTGGGGTCGCGGACTTTGACCTGCTCCAGCAGGTGAAGGATGAGATTCAGCCTTCAGACACAGCAGCTGACTGTATCCCTTGTACAGTCAAGCCATTTTTTGAATGAATGACCGAGTTCAGAATAATACCCACTGAACAGTTTTCCTTTTTTTTTCAGGCATGTTAAACAAATGTGAGAGAACAGCTTGAAGTGATGTAGGTCTTGAAGTAGATATGGCATCCAACTTCATCAGGGTTTCAAATCCTCAGTCATAGGTTTCTGGCTTGCCAAAGGGATACAACTCTGCAAAGCACATTGCAGCACTTAAACCGACAGGTCCACCCATGCCGTCCTCTTAAATGAAATAATTGAGGACTGGTGTGTTTGCTTTGTGGATGATTATGGGAAAGAAAATATTTTAGTCTGTTGATGAAACTTAAATCTTTCATTTATTTCAAATGGTCGGTGGATAAATATAGTTATAGGTTAAGTTAGCCTGTCTCGCAGTCACTGCACCTTGATATTTTCCCTTCCACCCAGCCATTACTGTAAGCCCTTAAATCTAAATAAGCAAATCTATATATTCCACTAGTCTTAGTCTGTCGTACAGACCCTGAATGAAATATATCCAAGAAAACCCGTGCAATTTTTAGAATATGTGGCAAGTCTAGATTTCAACTTTCTCAGGGCTCCTTTTAATTTTTGTTTTATCTTTTTTGTTTATGAACTGTTTTATCTGTAAAATATGTCCATGTCAGAGACTACACTGGTCTCTGAATCTCCCTTCTCAGTTGGTCTTTTTTTTTCAACTTAAATATAGTTACTTGTTTGTATCACTACCATATATTTATACAGGTTAAACATTGGTTGGCTTGTTACAAGTCCTGCTGGAATGGTCCTTTGTTGGATTTTTTTTCCAAATTCAACAAAAACTTGCTGCAGTAAGCAAACATACTGATCCAGAAATTATGCTTCAGCTTTAATGTACAGTAATTGTTTTAGTTCACAACTGTAAGAAAAGGTGTTTATTTTTGTTAGAGCTAGTATAAAGGATAAAAATGAATGTAACTGTTTGTAACAAATCAAGTAATAATGAATGGTTTAGGTGTAGTGGCAGCAGCAGAAAATGTTATGGCTGTTTGGCCTCTGAAAGCCCAGTTGCAGCCATGCTAATTGAGTCATTTGGAGTTATCTTCCTTAGCATCTACAGTCCTAGATGCAGTGGTTGTTGCCATGGATCACCTTGTCCAGGGAATACAGTGAGTACACTTTACATGTTCTGTCTACTTCAGTAAATAGCAACAATACTGTATCCAAACCAATTTGAACTTAACATTGGTTAAATTTGGGATTACACTTTCTTAGTAAAGTACAAATTCTAGTACTTTTGGGTTGAGTCCCATCCGGGATTCAAACCCATACCCTCAGAGTCAGCCACCTAATCGCCAGCACACAAAGTCAGCAGCCGAACCCACTCAGCCACTGCTACTTCCACAATTTGAACTTATTGTATTGAAACTTCTTGATAGGATGACCCACAATCAAACATAGTGATTACCCAATGAAGTTTACATTCACCGATATGCATAAGTTTGAAACTGATCAGGGGATAACTTGGTATTATTGGAGGCTGGCACCTAAAGACCATGTGTGGCAGTGGAGCAGTCTTGTAGTAAACAGTTAAAGCGTTGGCACATCACGCCGAAGACCCATTAGAATCCCCACATGGGCACAATGCGTGAAGCCCATTTCTGGTGTCCCCCGCCGTGATGTTGCTGGAATATTGCTAAAAGCGGCGTAAAACCAAACTCAGTCAGTCAGTCAGTCATGCCAAAGAGTGAGTGAGTTGGGTTTTATGCCGCTTTTAGCTAACTTCCAGCAATATCACGGAGTGGGACACTAGGAATGGGCTTCACACATTGTGCCCATGTTGGAAAATGAATCCGGACTTTCGATGTGACAGGTGAATGCTTTAACCACAAGGATACCCCACCGACCCTGCCAAAGAACCAGGTTTGATTCTCTATATGGATACAATGTGTGAAGCCCAAGCCCATTTCTGGTGTTCCCCCATTGTGATATTTCTGGAGTATTGTTAAAAGAGGTGTAAGTTTTCTGTGTATAAGCATTTGTGTGTGGAAAGACCCATTCAATATTGATGTTCCATGTGATGTTTCAGGGGTAAGAGAGGGTTTGCATCGAAGCGTATCATCCTGCTGTCAGACCTGGGGGGCGAGTTTGGAGACGATCAGCTGGACACCATCATTGGTGCACTCCACAACTCGGGGACAAATATTGACGTCATGTAAGTACTTTCAGTTTTGACTCGTGAAGATCATCAGTAACCCATGCTTGTCGTAAGAGGCAACAGGATTGGGTGGTCAGGCTCGCTGACTTGGTTGACAGATGTCATCGGTTCCCAATTGCGCAGATCGATGCTCATGCTGTTGATCATTGGATTGTCTGGTCCAGACTCGATTATTTACAGACCGCTGCCATATACTGTAAACGTAGTATATTTCGCGCAGGTTTTATTTTCGCGCTTTTTGCGCAAAACATTTTAGCGCGAAAAATTATACACCGCGAATAAACCTGTCATTCATTCAGTCTAGCCACGGTCGCCCCTGAGTTGTTACCATAACACATCACGTTTGAAGACAGAAATCTACGGGAATCTTAAAATGACGACTGATAGTAGCATACAGAATCAAACTTAACTGTCGCTGTAATGGATTTCCCAAAACATAATTAAATAATGAGCCAAATCGCATCGCCGAATTAGCGAAAACAGCAATGTGTGTTGTGGCCGCCATGGAAATTGGTCTCATGACAGATGGTTTGATACAAAACAGATTACCATGAAACGACTCGGAAAGAAATAATACAGCAGTATTTTATTTATTCATTTAGATACAAACGTATCATCATGAAGCGAATAGTCACTAACACTCAATCATCTCATTCGCAACAACCCGGCTTGTTTGAAATCACAAAGAGCTTCATATACAGTATAAGTTAATTAGTCAGATCGTCAGAATTCGGAACATAATACTGATGTGTTTTTCATCACTTCCGTGAGTAAACGGATTACTGTGTACTAGTATATCGCACAGATAGGGATTTCCTGTGAGTAAGTAATAAACGCCGCCTGACAGGTTCAGCCACTCTGTTTGTTTTCACTGCTATTAGTGGCGGCCAAAGCGACAGCTGGCAGTTCCGCAATTACTGATTCTTGCTGAATAATTGACCGCGCGATGTCGTCTAAACTGTCAATTCCACGAAAATTGCACCACGCGAAAATAAGTACGTTTACAGTAGCTGGAATATTGCTGAGTGCGGCGTAAAACTAAACTCACTCACTCACTCACCTCTAATGTCCTTATAACTGTATATAATAATACCAAACATAGCAATTGCTTCAGAAACCCTATTAACAACATGTCATGCATTTTGGAGTTGTGTGTATATCTTTTCTTATTTGTACAAGGCTCTATTCTCTGCATCATGTCTTTTGCAACAGGGACACAGAAATGTAATATCATGTATCGTGAAGTACATGTGTTACTTATACGAAACAAATCAAAATCTCGATTTTGACGTATTGAAGCAAAAATGTCAATTTAAGGTGCCATGTCTGGCCTTAACAAAAAAAATAAAAAGATCCACAAAAATCACCAACATATGACTGTAAGTTAGGTTGATACACAATATTTTAATGCCATCCATTTCATCCTATTCCAGTGGCCCCAACATTGACGATGATGAGGATGAGGAAGGAGGGGGAGGCGATGCAGGGGGGGCATCGGTCAACGGTCACCGCAAGGACAAGACCCCTCAGCAGCGAGCAGGGGAAGCTTTGATTAAACATATTCTGGACCAAGTTGAGGGGGAATGCTATTCATTCAGGTTCGTGGACATGTCACTACACTCAACAATTGAGGTTTTCAGTGTACAAGTGCAATGACTATTTGTATGTAGCAGGGGTGGAAATAACTTTAAAATTGCTAGTGTACTCCGGTACAGTGGCACATGTAAAATCACTTGCCCTGATAATTTTTCCACTATACCGACGTTTTCTTGTTGATTTTTTAAATAAACAACATAATTAATATTGGAAAGTCATCTGGACACCGGTACAGTAGGATATACAAATTTGCTTGCCCAACAGAAGAAAACACTGGACTCGGGCATCAGGCAATGGGTTATTTCCACCCCTGTGTAGCTGTATGTGATGGCAACTACACAGCAAAGAGAAATGACACTATTTGTATCTGGGAAAAGTGGGCATTTGTACTGGGGCTCCCTAATGTTACTTTTGTCATAATGTATACTACATTAGTTCATAGGGATGTTAAAGTACATTGATGCATCTGTCAAATGTGTTAAGTTTGTCATATGTTGATAAAACAAAATACACATCACAATAATCTCCATTTGCTTATTGGTGGAAAAAGACAGCTGTATGAAGTCAGTGTCCAACAGTTATTGTGTGCTGTTTATCTTTGCAGTGAAGCGTTACCTGCCCTTAGTTACTTCACAGCTCGTCAGGTCCGCCCTACAGCATGGAAATGCACAATGGATATTGGTCCCGATCTCCGTATACCAATAAACTTTTATGGAAAAGTAAGTGTTTATTTCTATTGTACCACTGACTTGTGATAAATCCATTGATCTCTGTCAAAGCCATCAAACATTTATTAGCCATCATGGATATATGATTATCGATGCTAGTTATAACAAGCAGGTTGAAAAAGAATTCAACAAATGTATGGACACATAATGAATCTGATTTCAGTATTTTTACCTTTCGACTATTACTAAAAATATGGATCTTGTATGACTGGGTCAATTTACGATGTGCAGGTTTAATGAGTGTGGCTGTATCATTGAAGAAATGACACCCTGTAGGGGATTGCTGGTTAGAAGAATGCTGGTTGCTTGGTGTTACATAATGGATTTGGTGGTTTGGCCTAGTGCCATTGTGCAATGTAATCTTAGCAGTAAGGTGATCGTAGCGGCCAAACTTCAACCGTCTTAGCGCTAATGTTGTTTTGTACAATGACACCCTGGTTGATTGCATGTCCGCATATATTGATTACATGTAGCATTGCTCATGACATCAATCACTAATATGACTTGCTCAGATTCATTTATTTCCAGCCCCTAGTTATACAGTTGGAAAATTGCTGAGTGTGGCACTAATGAAAGAATGAAAATGTAATTTGCATGTTTGAACTAAAGTGACTGTCATCCTAATGAATGTTTGGCTTAAATAATACAGATAAAAGACTTCAAGTTGAAGCAGAGCTGGAAAAAGGTTTATGCAAAGGATCCTGACCAAACGGTGGGCAACTTGCGGACACAGCACATGAATGACGAGGAGGAGACAGAGGTGGAGAGAGAGGACATTGTACAGGGTATGTAGGGTGAGGTGGAGAGAGAGGACATTGTACAGGGTATGTAGGGAGGAGGTCGAGAGAGAGGACATTGTACAGGGTATGTAGGGGTGATGTGAAGAGAGAGGACATTGTTCAGGGTATGTAGGGATGAGGTGGAGAGAGAGGACATTGTACTGGGTATGTAGGGATGAGGTGGAGAGGGAGGACATTGTACGGGGTATGTGGGGTCGAGGTGGAGAGAGAGGACATTGTACAGGGAGAGAGGACATTGTAGGGAGGTAGGGTGGAGAGAGAGGACATTGTACAGGGTATGTAGGGGTGATGTGGAGAGAGAGGACATTGTACAGGGTATGTAGGGAGAAGGTGGAGAGAGAGGAAATTGTACAGGGTATGTAGGGGCAAGGTGGAGAGAGAGGACATTGTACAGGGTATGTAGGGAGGAGGTGGAGAGAGAGGACATTGTACAGGGTATGTAGGGTGAGGTGGAGAGAGAGGACATTGTACAGGGTATGTAGGGGAGAGAGAGGACATGTAGGGGTGAGGTGGAGAGAGAGGACATTGTACAGGGTATGTAGGGTGAGGTGGAGAGAGAGGACATTGTACAGGGTATGTAGGGTGAGGTTGAGAGAGAGGACATTGTACAGGGTATGTAGGGATGAGTTGGAGAGCGACTTCAAGAAAGTTCTAAAACATGTCAGTAGTGAAATGCCTCAATAAAAGAATTCCATTGAAATCATATGCGATATTTCCCTCTTATTGCTCTTATTGATTTTGTTGCCAGTAGGAATATTTTCCTAAATTTAAGAAATTCTTACAGAACATGCAGAAGAAATTGTATGTAACAAGAAAATACATATGTATTAAGACACACTGCTAAACAATTATTTTTAAATTAATTGCAAAATAGTTGAAGAAACCTGTTTCCTGAATCATTGAATATCTTCAAATGTTGCAGGTTATCGCTATGGTAACACGTTAGTGCCGATGTCTGAGGATGACAAAGAAAACATGAAGTATAAAGCAGAGAAATGTCTGAAGGTTCTTGGCTTTACAAAAAGTGATAATGTAAGTATGTTTCAAAAAGTCTACTCCACATATCAAAAGTATGAAAATATGTTCCGTTGTAAATATAATGTGAAAATTGAAACAACATGTATTTCACTTTGAAGAAAGTTTGAGGTTATTTATCTATAAGTTAATGACTCACCATATGAATATCATGTCTACCACTGCACATTTTCAGGTAAAACGCCATCATTTCTTGGGAGATGGGACAAATGTTGTTTTTGCTGAGAAAGGAGATGAGGTAGGTACAAAGTTATGTCCCTTGTTTCCCATCATGCATCACTTGTGAAACACCTACATGTATTTGAGAGGTTTTGGTCAGTGCTGTGCTCTGTGCTGTTCCCAAATTGTATCCGTGAAATTAAAAATCGGCTGATGACAAACCTGAAGTTTAGCACCTCTATAAACATACCTGGCACTTTGTTGATGCGTTTATAGCCAAGTATTGTACAGTTTGTGTTCAGCTGAATCTATTCTGAAGCTTATCACCTCTACATAGAGCCCCTGTTCATAATGAATTCCTCACCCACAGGCTGCTGGAGTTGCCCTTTCTGCCATGATCAACGCCCTCTATGAGACAAACATGGTGATTATTGCTCGCAGGGTCTACTCCAGTGCTTCAGGACCTAAACTTGGAATTCTCTGGCCCTCAATCAAGGCCAATTATGAGGTAGGTACTCATTTAATTGACAGAGATTGTAAGAATTTTATTAGATAAAACTTGTGGCATATTTGGCTCCGCTGACAAAATGTAAAGTGAGCTATGTCATAGCCTGTTTGTCTTCTGTGCACGTTTCTGGTGATATTTTAAGTTTTGAAATCTATTTGACGCGGGTTTGATTCCCCACATGGATACAATGCGTGAAGCTCGTTTCTGGTGTCCTCCGCCATGATATTGCTCGTATATTGCTGAAAGTGGTGTAAAACCATACTCACTCACCTCTTTGCACAGTAAATATCTCAGAAACTACTGAATCCGTGGGGCTGAAGCTTCACAAGCATGTTTCCATATTATTCGCCATTGGTTTGAATCTAATTTTCAGCATGGCAGTGATAGCAGTTATGAAAGAATGCTTTCTGAAATTTGTAAAATAAGCTTTGTATCTTTTTGTGCAGTGTTTGTATTGGGCAGAAATCCCTTTTGCCGAGGATCTACGTCAGTTCACCTTTGGATCACTGCCAATCATGGATGATGTTGAAACAAACAAGAAATACAAACCTACAGGTATGTATTGATTGACAACCCACAGGTATGTATTGTTAGACAACCTGCATGTATGTATTGATAGACAACCCACATATATTTATTGATAGACAACCCACAGGTATGTATTGATAGACAACCCACAGGTATGTATTGATAGACAACCCACAGGTATGTATTGATAGACAACCCACAGGTATGTATTGATAGACAACCCACAGGTATGTATTGGAAGACAACCCACAGGTATGTATTGATAGACAACCCACAGGTATGTATTGATAGACAACCCACAGGTATGTATTGATAGACAACCCACAGGTATGTATTGATTGACAACCCACAGGTATGTATTGTTAGACAACCTGCATGTATGTATTGATAGACAACCCACAGGTATGTATTGATAGACAACCCACAGGTATGTATTGATAGACAACCCACAGGTATGTATTGATAGACAACCCACAGGTATGTATTGATAGACAACCCACAGGTATGTATTGATAGACAACCCACAGGTATGTATTGATAGACAACCCACAGGTATGTATTGATAGACAACCCACAGGTATGTATTGCAACCCACAGGTATGTATTGATAGACAACCCACAGGTATGTATTGATAGACAACCCACAGGTATGTATTGAAAGACAACCCACAGGTATGTATTGATAGACAACCCACAGGTATGTATTGATAGACAACCCACAGGTATGTATTGATAGACAACCCACAGGTATGTATTGGAAGACAACCCACAGGTATGTATTGGAAGACAAACATTCATGCACATAACAGAATGGTTTAATGTTTAGTTTTATGTCCATTTTTAACTCATCGGACTGAAAGTCATGTTTGTCGTTAAAACTGTTCCCTTCATAGCCAGGTGAGTTACGGTACTGAGGCCCCATTGTCTTCTTCATGTGATGGAAATGACAGCTTCATATGCAAGTATTGTGTCCACAGCTGAGCAGCTCAGTGCAGTGGATGACCTCATCACAGCCATGGACCTCAGCCAGGCAGCAGCGTAAGTAACACATACTGACAGAAGTATGTTCTCCAATAAAATCAATACGTTGCATAGATATACAGCTTCTTCTCTCTCCCCCTTTGTATACATTCCTGTACCAGAGGCTGATATTTGACCCCAAGTCTGCAACAAATGACAATAAAGATTTCTTATTTGAAACATAAAATTGCCAATTTCCCCGAATTTATAACAATGAAAACATTAAAACAAATAAAGTTTTGAACAATATTATGATTTTTTCAATTTGCTTGCCAATGGTGCTGAGTTCTGAATCTGTAGCCTAGAGATGTATAGTTCATCTCTGGATAAAGAATTCAGAGTATGGTAAAAGGACTGTCCTCTAAACTGTATTTTGATTTCCACATTTGTGAAAGTTTTGGTTGGTGAGTCCATGTCCTTGATAAACCAGTCCAGATGGTACAAATAAACAGGGTTTTCATTTTGCGGCATCATACTAATACAATATTCCTATCTTGTTGGAATTAATGAATACAGGAACCTATCTAGACCTTCATTGAGGCTGATATTCATTCATATTTGTGCTGCAACTGTCAGTCAAGACTCTATCTAATCAAATTTGAATGTAGGTTCATGTTAATATAGTTATACATTATGTGATGGCATTGCAAAGGTAACTTTTATGTCTCAAAAGAGGAACACTAGTGACAAAGAGGCTTTGATGATAGGGCTGGGACGGGTAACCCGGATATCGGGTGGGTAATGAGTTGGACCCATGTACCCGTTTCAGTACCCGGACCTGTTGGGATCATGTGACTAATGGATTAAGCAATGTAATATGTTAGTTTTTCATGATTAAAAAGTTGTATTGTCTTGTAAGATACAGTCACCTGTTTTGAATATAATACATGATTAAAATATTAAAAAACTCAAATTTTTAACCTACGAGCTGAAGAATATATTGCCATTTCTTACAAATTTGATTTCAGGAATTAACATAACGGAGATCAGTGTAGGGTAGGGTAATAGCGGGTGGGGTACCAGAGCTCCAGATAAGATTTAGCTCATGTGGGTACTGTACCCACTGTATTTTTTGGGAGTGGGTATTATGAATGTTGAGTGGGAATTTCATTTTCCGTTACCCACTGCTTTCAAATATGTACTGTATTTCAGTCATTTTACTCTAAGTATATGTCATTGAGTAAGTTTACTAAGCAGGTATGTTCTGCCTTATGTCATACCTCATCAAAACCAACTTAAATATAATGGAAATGATTTCATAAAAAATCACTCATCCTATACTGACAGTACAACACTTGTCCTATTGTTAGTATAGGACAACTTGATAGCAATCGATGTCTTTTTCATTACGCAAGCGATTTTTATAAATATATTCCGTACGCATGTGTTAAACTTGTTACGTATCTAACTTTTTAAATGTGTAATTGGTACGCAACAATTATTTTTTCAATGCGTAATTGGAAATTTTCTATGCGTATTTTACCCGGATACGCAGCTTATCTGGGCCTCTGGGGTACCCGGTAAGAAAATTTGGACCTATCCCAGCCCTATTTGATGCTTAGTTTACAATTTTGGACCTCAAAATTTATGAAAATTTGAATTTTGAAAATAATTTCATTTAAATGAAAATAATGTGTTCCTCATTTTGCCTGCAAAAGGCACTGGTTAAAAATCCTGGATAAACGTCTGGGCTATTACTGCTACCACTCAGTTGTGTGGATGTTAGCATGTAGGTAGCACTCCGTGCACCTGTACCATGCATATGTTGGTTGTAGGGATGATGACGATGAAGAAGAAGAAAAGTCTGAGTTTCTGAAGCCAAAACTGACCTTCAACCCATACTTTCAGAGATTATACCAGGTGAGATGGCAATAAAATGATGTATGTCAAACATGTCTGTTCCAGACCTTAAATTTATGCTGATTTCTTTACATGTCTGTCTTGGACTGATAGTGAAAAGATGGCTCACATTTTACTATTACTCCATATGTATACTCTAAATGTATAATAAAAAATTGTATAATCATCATGTTATCTTCAAGTAACCCTAAAAGCTCATATAGACATGAAACTTCATGTTTATAATAATCTTTTGGTTTTTCATATTTCGATTAGCATTATCTTCTGCCCTTATCTTTGGTAATCGTTTACAAAAATGTCAAAAAATAAATTCTCATTCTAAAAACTACTGTGTCAAATATGATATAACACTCTTATTTAAAGAACCACTAAACTTTGTTTTTGTTACTCTTTTAACCATTACATATGAAAGATTTGTGGTTAGTCTTATGCGAACACCAAATTTATTCTTTAAAAACTTGTGGTTAATTAATACCGCCGCGATTAAAGTGGCCAAAAGTCGCCTGCTTCCTCTCGCCCGCCAACGAAACCACAGACAGGTTACGTAACTCTGTCGCCAGAGCACTGCAGTGACGTCATATGAGGAACGATTTTCAGTTAGTTGTATAGAAAATGTGTAGCACGCTCATCATTTTGATGATTTCTCGACGTCAACGACAACATGCCGAATCGTTGCTTTGTCGTCAGTTGCTCCTAGGGTCGGGGCGATGGTGTCCCCATGCACAGATTTCCACAGGACCCGCAGTTCGTGCTAAATGGGTTATGTTTGTGAGCGGCGAGCGTTGTGGAAGCCTGAAACGATATATTACTTGTGTTCAGATCGCTTCACGGAAGTTAAAGAATCAAAACTACTTACTAGTTGTAGTAAAATATGCATATGATTGATGACCATAAAGATTTTCTATGACACAACTTGTAACATAACGATTTCTTCCTCGGAAGTGAGGTTGTGGTCGGTAACAATAATATTGTAAGTAGTATTATATTGACACCCACCTCGCTGCCAGAGAAATTGTTATGATATACGCTATGTCATGCAAAATCCTATTGGCCATCAATAAAATACATATTTTACTACCAGTAGAAAGTAGCTTTGATTTTGTAACTTCGGTGAAAACAAACCTAAATACCATTTATCCTCAGACTGGCGGATGTTTCCGACAGGGCTTCCATTTTAAAACTAAAACATCTGTTAGAATTAATGAAATTATAGTTTGTTTTCTTCAAGTTAGAAAATCAAGACTACTTTCTACTCGTTGTTAAATATGTATTGGAATCATAACCAAACGGATTTTGCATGACACAACTTATAACATAACGATTTCTTCCACGGAAGCGAGGTGGGGGTCGAAAGATCACAATACTGCGCGATAAATTTCTTTGCTACATTCACATGGTTAATGTCCACTCACCAGTATGTAGATACTAGTCAATGTGCGTCTTTATATTTGGTCTTATAATCCTAATTAGTTTATTATCACACTTGTATGCATTTTGAAACTAAATAAAGCTGAAGATCTGCTGATACTTATAGTGAATTTATAACAGAACTGTAATATCTAGACATTTTATAGTTTGCCAATGTGAATCATAATTCGCACACACACCCTAGTGCATGTTGTCTGTCTCATTACACTACACGGCTGAAAACAATGATTCTGTTGAATGCTCACGACAAATGAATAAAAACAAAATGCAAATATTAAAATTAAAACAGATTAAAGTTATAGGAACAATATCAGGCCATTACCTTGTTCGAGGAATGTATCCATCAATATCCACAAAACTGTTCCAAATGATGTGTCTTTTAACAGTTTAATATCTGAAAAAGTGATAAATCTTTTCAGGTATTGGTGTATACATGTAGTCTCATTGGTCACCCAAGATAGCACACCTGGCAACTAATTGCATAATGTCCGCCTTTCTTTAAAAACAGTAATTTAGTTAGCCAATAATGGGCAATCAATCAATGTATTGCCGGTTAATCCTTTGAAAGAAGGACGTTGTTTTACGCAGACACCGGCTACGACAGAGTGTATTCAGTATAGATTAGTAAATCTACATACATAAACACTACCTTTTGACAATTCCGGCTGTGTAAGATAAAAGTAATTAATCAATCAGCGTGTTATCGGTTAATCCTTTGATCGATGTTTATAATGTTGAATATTTACTCCAGACACAAGAAATGCCAAATGGGAACCTTTGTCGGTAATCTAAGTGTGTTACCACTAATTATACCTGTTATAAATTCATTAACTGACCATCAAGTGAATGATGACAAATAACATGTGTAGGTTTATACCACCTAACACGGGTTACAACGAGGGAGTATTAATTGCTGTATTGCATGTGAAAACTTATGGGCCGACACTGTTTTGAGAATACAAACAGATTTTTACATGACATGATTAAATATCGAGGTAAAACAACACAGAAACGGGATCAATTTGGATCAGGCATTATACAAATAGGGCCTAACGACACCAATCGATTTTGACAGAATCGTCTATGAAAACAAGTTGTAACTTCGAAAACTAGGCAAAGCAGGAGACAAAATTAAATGACAGTAGATTGTGAGAACATATAGTTTTCATTTTCCACAACAATTGTCACGATTACAGGTTTATACAAGCTGGTAAACACGATAATTTACCCCCTAAAATGTAGATGAATTCTGCATCGGCTCTCAAAGCTATTCCTCATATGACGTCAGAGGTAGCGCCTGATTGGTTGAAATTTCGTTCGCGGGTGAGAATTTGCACTGTTGTCAAAAAGGTCGATTTAAGTCAATTAAAGGTCGAAATGAGTAGTTTTAATGACGGGGTTTCATTTATAACGATGCCAGTTAGTGATTTATGTATTTGTACCCCCTAGGGTTTATGTGACCTTTAATACCCATGAAGGTCCGGGTTAGAATTGATCTTCCGTAACCCATGCTTGTTGTAAGAGGCGACCAACAGGATCGGGTGGTCAGGCTCGCTGACTTGGTTGACACAATTGCATAGATCGATGCTCATGCTGTTCATCACTGGATTGTCTGGTCCAGACTCGATTATTTACAGACTGCTGCCGTATAGCTGGAATATTGCTGAATGCGGGTTAAAACTAAACTCACTCACTCTTATATGTTGCAGTGCCTACAACACCGAGCTGAAAACACAGACGAGGGATTGCCAGAGTTATCCCCACTTATTGCAAGCTATCTCAAACCACCACAAGAAGTTCTCACAAGATGTGAAGAACATGTGGAGAAAATGAAAAATGTATTTAAACTTGAAATGGTTTCTAAGAAGAAAGATGAAAAAACAGGAGAAGCAATGTTTAAGGATAAGTAAGTTGATTCCATTGTTTGTCCTTCTTAAAAAGTTGGCATTGGTTGCCTTGTCATCTTATGCACCATAGTTCACTGTGTAGAGTTACATCCCTTGAGAGTGCCAGGAACTTCTGACTGTGGGTTAGCATCTCACTTCACCCCAGTTATGTTTCTTGGTTTGTGAGAACTATATGGTGATAAAAAATTGAGATCTGCATCACTTCAGACTGTTCTCCCAATATAAACAGATATGATATAAGGCCCCTTAAACAAATATTCTTATTTCTCATCACTTTTTCAAAAAAGTATGTGTCGAGCGGGCAGATTGAATTTTTACAATTTAATTCATTTTTTATGTCCCAAACCTCTAGATTTCTGAGGAAAACTACACCTTTTCTCCGATAGAAGATCAACACTTAGAAGTGTAAAAAATTCATGCATATTTTGAGATTCAAAGTTGCATTTTCTCAAGTGTAAAATAATAGAAACAATCTTAGCATCGGGTCAAATTTTCGGGTCAGGTGGTGATGAGAAACAAGAACATTTTTATATATGGCCCAGGGATTGGGAAAGGCAGGGGCCATGGGCCATTTTGCACATTAGAATAAAAAATGGCCCATTAAAATGTTGAAGTTTACTACTGATACAAGGACAGTGGCCCCATTGTAAATTCAGAAAATGGCTAATAATCCTGAAAATGGCCCACTGTCAAAGTTCTCTATCCCAATCCCTGATGGCCTAACATGAATATTGCTCAAAGCAACATAAAAACTGACTGACTGACTTTTTTCATGTATTCCTATCAATGATTACCCACCCTAGGGGAGATTGACTCTGTCATCATGTTGCTGACACCTCAGCATGACACAAAGATGTCTACATGTCTATACCTGTTGATGTTGTAGTGAGGCGGAGGCAGGACCAGCTCCAAAACGACAAAAGCTGGATGACAACCTTGAAGGAGGGATGCAAGATATCACAAGGGCAAAGGTCACTCAGGTAGGGTCACGGTCAAAACTTATACAGAGTTAAAGAGTCAAAAGTGACTTAATGCACCATTCCGTGATAATGTGTGAATATAATGTCTTGTTTGAGATCAATAGAAAAAGGTCAAATGCAAATTGAAAGTTTTCCTGCAGCTGAAAAGATTCTGGTATTGTGGTTTCCTTCCCACTGAGTTTTTCTGAGACTGTATGTTTGTCATACACCAGGTTGGGACGGTGACCCCGACAGCTGACTTCCAGGCCCTCATCAGCAGGAAGGATGAGGACATGTTTGAAGAAGGTGAGCAGCTGCTGTACCGATACACTTTGAGTGAGCAGCACTGAAGGAATCCAGGCTTTTTCCAGCACAAGAAGTTCTGTTTTTGTTGTTATTTGAACGTTTAGAATTCTGGGCTAGTAAATGTATTACAATGTTTTTTTCTTTTTGGTTCAGCTTGCCAACAAATGCAGAAGAGAGTGGAACAGATAGTGTCTGATTCTTTTGGCACCCAGTTCTACAGCAAGGCCATGGAGTGTCTCAAAGCGCTCAGACAGGAGTGTATCAAGGTGAGTGCAAGGACAAAGGTGTAGCTCAGTGGTTAAAGCGTTGCCAACAATCCAGGTTTGAGTCCCAAAATGAGTAGACTGTAGTGTGAAGCCCTTGCTTTGCTGACACTCACTTCAGGCTTGTTAAACGTCATCTTGTTATCAGTCTTTACCATTAACATCATCCTATTAATATGTAATAAAACATCACAACACTGCGAAATAGTGTTTGGGAGAAATATATCAAATTAAAGATATAAAAGAATCCATTTTTAATCAATAGGAAATGTCATTGTACATGTTAGGACGGAGATATATTAGCATGGATTCAATACACGTTATCAGAGATTGCTTTGCACTGCATATATCTAATCCTCCATTTGATTGGTTAAACTGCTGGACGTATTTGTTTCAGAAACAAGAAGCAAAGGTGTACAATGATTTCATGACCAAGTACAAGGACACTCTAATTGGAAAAGGGAAAAGAGATTTCTGGGATCAAATTGTTCAAGGTATGATATTGACAGCAGGGGTTGACGTTGCCCAGATGAACACTACCAAGCTATTCTTTTTCAGAAGAAGTCCTCCTTGGGGTACATATAAGCATTAAAATGTCCATTTTAAATCCTACGACAGTTGTAACTATATTTTTAATAAAATATTTACAAAACAAAAAACTCGTTTTGTCTTGTGAGACCACCCCTACAGGGCCCCACCGGACCAACACAGCCAAGAGCAGGTAACTCTCGCCGTCTACCTCGTACCTCACTTTTCATGCTGTCGTTCTGTTGAATAGACGTGCGTGGTGTTCGTTTCGAGTTTGCTCTCCTACCGATACGATGAGTGTAAAAGAGTCTCAATCTGTATGTATGGTTCCTTTCTCTACGCATGGGCGTTAGATGGACGTCATATGTGGATATTTTCATTCATCTTTTGTTGTAACTTTGCCGTGGGTTCTCTGTTTTCCAGCCATGCGGCAGGCAAAATGGCAGACCGCGCGATCGTGGTTTCCTTGCTATATGTTCTTGGTAGCTTGTAGTAGGGAGTTCATATATTATGTTTGCATATTATATGGTAGGCTTGCCTAAATTCTCTTTCTTTTCAGCGAATTTGTGGTAAGTCGTTGAGTAATTTTGATAGTGTTAGTTTAGATTATCACTCAACTTTACTCTATCACTAGTACACGCGGGGGTGGCTAGCCTTTTTCTGCTTTGCATTGTATGCTTAGTATTTAAATGGCTGTAGCTTGTAGCATTTATATATCGCCCGTCGCGGATTATTCTTGCTATTACTTGTGTTTATGTGTTTGCTGCTTCACAGTTCCTGCTAGTAACACTGGCGTGGTTCTGTTTGTTGCAGTTTAAGCCCTGTCGTTGTGCCATGCACACTACCGCCACAGGATGGTTATAAAGTGTGCCTCCGGTGTTTAGCCGAGGACGCTCACGACGATCAAGGATGCTCATAATAAACGCTTTTGCGTCAATATTCCTGTTCCATTATGTTGTATTATGATACGTTTACACACAGCGTGGCTCATAGGCGAGGTTGTGTTTTTGTCTGGGTTTCTAAGCCTCCACGGCATTTCTTTCCGACCGCGCAGATTTTATGTTTTCACTAATCTGCTTCAGGCGGGGGATAATATTTGATAAAAGGTTTCTAAGGAAATCCCTTTATCGTTTCCCCCGCAAACAATGTTGCTGACTTAAATATGACTCAATTTGCTTCACTATTGCAGCAACATATTCTTCAACATAATGTCAATTCGATGATTGATAGCGCGATGTCCAGGCTCCGTAAGGAGCTCGGCTCGCAAAGTGTTGATCTCGAAGGTAAGTTCACCAGGTGTCGTCTGTGGTGAAATTCCGGCCCCGATTGACACGGTGCTGTCTGGGTTCCGCCTCCTCCCAGGCAGCTTGATCCTGGCTTCGGCTCAGGTGATGGTGTGCCTTCGGCACCTTGTGGCGACCTAGCTTCGGGCTCAGGTTCGTCACGGGCGCCTGGCGCCGGCGATGCAGGTTTTGCCCTGTCTTCGCCTGGTGCCCTGACTGGCGGTCGCCTAGGCGCAGACCAGCTCGGGGACACCTCGGCGCCTTCGGCACCTTGTGGCGACCTAGCTTCGGGCTCAGGTTCGTCACGAGCGCCTGGCGCCGGCGATGCAGGTTTCGCCCTGCAGGTTTTGCCCTGGTGCCCTGACTGGCGGTCGCCTAGGCGCCGACCAGCTCGAGGACACCTCGGCGCCGATGGTCAGTCGGGGTTGCCGGAAACCTGTATATCGGCAGGTTCCTCGGCCCGGTCTGGGTTCCACTGAGCTGCCGATCACCTCGGCTCCTAGGTCTACCTGTGTCCACCAGGGGCAACCTGCATTGCCAGGCTACTCCCTTGTGTCTCCGGGACTGCAGATCGGACTAGCACCGACCTGGGCTTCGGCCCGATGCGAGCAGATCCCCGGCTGTTAGCTCAGGTCTCGGCCTGATGTCTATCGATGCCCTGGCCAAAGCGGCGTTGAGTGTGACGAGCTGCCGATCACCTCGGCGCGCCGAGGTCTACCGTGCACTTACACCAGGGGAGCCCTGCATTGTCAGGCGGCTCCCATGTGTTGGGGATCGAGGTTCGAACTCGAACCGCCGACCGAGCACTGGCGATACATACATGTGTATGTATGGGTATTTATATAAGCTATAGGCTATGTTTGACTATAAGCTCAGTGCGCTTTGGAGAGTACTTGGGGAAACCTGATTTATCAGGCTACTCCCTCGTGTCTCCGGGATCGGGTTTAGGTCTAGAACAGCTGTGCTTCGGCTCTGCGGATTCTCTGAACCCCGTGGGTAGCGCCGACCCAGGCTTCGGCACTGGTAGGGCGCAGATTCCCGACTCCGGTAGTTCAGGTCTCGGCCTGATGTCTATCGACGTATTGACCTAGATGCCATCGAGTGTGCCGGGTGTGACTGTCACCTCGCCGCTCCGAGGTCTGTCTGAGTGCTTGTGAAACCTTGATTGTCAGGCTTCTCACATGTGCCTCGGAATCGGGGTTCAGGCTCGTACAGTGGACAAGTCGATTTGAGCTTCGGCTCATTTCGCTACTTTGAACTTACTACTAAGTAGGTTCGTCCCTGAGGTCGACTACCCGAACCGTTGGAGTTCGCCTCCCGAAGGGAAGCCTGCTTCCAGCACGGCATCCGGGACAAGGCCTCACACTCTCCCTTAAGTCTGCCGTTCTTTCCCCCTTCACAGCTCAACGCTGTATGCTCCACTCGGCGCATCTCTCAGCGCTGCTGAGGGAGCTGGTGGAAAGGGGAGAGAGCGCCGGTGGATTTTTTTCTTCGGCGACTCTGGGCGGCATCTGACGGGGGCAACTCTCATCTGGCTAGGGACTGCATTGTAGCTGTGCCAGTCAAATGATGAGGGCGGTTATGGGCATATACGCCCGGGACAGTTTCGAGGAATCTGGAAGTCTGTTGAGCTTCGTTACTTCCTCAGGTGCCCAGGCATCGGCAAACATTAAGTTGCCGACTGCTGGGAGTTACTATATTCTGCCGCAAACACCGGCGGGCGACACCTCCTGTGTCGGCTTCCCGGGAGACGGCGACAATACTCCGTGCCCAGATCCAGTCTTTGCTGGGCTAGGCAACCAGTGGGGTGGTTTCCAATGGTCAGGAATATGTGGGGGGAATATGTGGGGTTTGACTCCACATTTCATAGTTGTCATTACGAACGGAATGTTCAGACCCATTCTCATCTGAGAGTGAACAAGTTTATAGAGGTACTGTCCTTCAAGATGGAGACACCGCTCGGTGATCTCATCTGCCGAGACAGGGGATTGGCGCCGCGTCAATGCGACCTCAGGTCGGCGATACCTCCTTGTTCCATTGCACCCTGATTTCAAGATTTACCTTCGGTTTCTTGTTTGGCGGGGCGTGCTACCAGTTTCGTGTGCTCTCCTTAGGCTACATTCACGGTGCCAAGGGTGTTCACCAAATTGAGGTTTATTACAGCTCAGATAGCCAGATCGCAGTGCGGTGTTGTCACCCGTTACATAGGCGACTGACTCATCGTGGTTTCAGATAACTGTTGAGTCTGGGGACCTCCGCGATCAGTTCGGAATTGTCAACCTCACGCGAGTCAGATGGACAGGCGTCGAAGCGTCTCTCGAGGTCCCCACCCTGGAGACACCGTCGCTCGGTCCAGCCAGATACATCCCTACCGGTTAGAGGCGATGTTCTGGGTGACCTGCAGCCTCTGGAGGCGAAGTCACAACCTGCACATCAATGTGCTGGAATTGACAGCAGTCAGGTTGGTGTTTCGATCCCGCGCGCCGGGATTGAATTACCTCTTCGACCAGACATTCTCACTCTGCGAGGCGCCACACCGAATCCTCCGGATTCACTGGGTGGCTTGGCCTCTGTCGGGTATAACACACGAATTCCTGCAACCGTTGCAGACACAATTCTGCCTGGGATTCGACACCCGTTCAGTGTGTTGATAGGTGGGGCCAAGGGTGTGCAGATAGGGGGATTTCATAATCCCTATTCTGCGGACTTAGTTCGGATATTGGAGTTACTATAACCTCGTTTTGGTTGAGAGCCTTATGACCTCCACCATTGCCGGGTACTCCATGGCTATTTCCACGTTTCACACCTCGTTCGATGGTGCTCTGCCTAGGCAGCATCCTCTCATACATCGGCGTCGTAGCTGGCATGAACAGGGTTCGACCGCCTTCGTCGGCGACCCAGCCCACCTTAAAATTGCCACTTATTCACAATTGGCTGTCTGGCCTAATTTTTCAAGTATATCGTCTCTCTCACTTCACTTGTTGGCGTGGAAGGCGACTTTACTGTTGTGGTGAACTCTGGTAGAAGGGTCGGGTACATCCATCGCGATTCCCACTGACCCGACACTGACAGTATTTTATACTGATCATGTCCGTATTCGACTCCGGATACCTACCACTCTCAGTGCGATATTGCTTTCCACGTGACTGCTCATATCGCACTTCCACCCTTACCCAGCCTTCCGCGCGGGGACCAATCTTTTCGATTGCTCACCCGTGCCTGTCACTGAACGAGCGAACAAAAGGGATCCGTCACGGGTACCCATGTGTGCTGTTTGGTGGCGGGAAGACTGGGGAGTCTGCTAACAAGCGCACTTTATCTCGTTAAGCGTGTTTCCGTAATTGTATGGTTACAATGATACGGTTTACCTCCCGAGGGTTGAAGGCAGACTGGGTAGGGCAGATGCCGCTTTGTTGACAATACACAGCGGCACTGCTCAATGAAGAGATCGGTTCTGTCGCTCTTTGGAGCCAGCAGAACGCCTTCATTCGCCATTACCAACTTGACACGCATTCTAAGGATGGAGTGCTCTGTTGGTCTTTCGGTTCTCTCCAGTGGAGAGTGACCTGCCACCCTGACCAAGTTAGTAACTGGTCATTGGTATCGGTTCTGTGTTCAATGTCGATATATTTCATATCACTACATCATTATTAGCCTTACCATCCTTTCGGGTTGGGTCGGGTTTGGGTGTACATCGTCCCTTCGTCCCTTCAAGAGGGCGGGTCCGTTTGAGAGCGCTTTAACCAGTCATATGCTATTAACCCGTCTTGCGGCGAATTGGGTCGCGAACCCCCACGGGGGCACTGTTTGGTATGCCTCTCTTGAGCCGCATGTCACGCGTGACCAGGTTAGTGTAATGGTGAGCCAACATATGTTCGGCTACGCTTTTCGCTATTCAGGGGATTTTTGTACGCTTACAGTTTTTCCCTCTTCCCGAGCCTTCGGTATTTGGGAGTCTGTGTTGATCAGCTTTGTGGGATGGTGGCCTACACTTACCCTCCTCACGCCGAGAGTGTTTGGTGGGGGTGTTTTCACTTTCATACAATGCATGGCGTTTGTACTCGTTCGATTTCCTCAGAAAGTTTTAGCGAGGCTAATAATTTCTCTGGGTTTTATCGAGGTCCCGGCAAGCCCTCTTCCAAACAGGGGCTGCATTCGAGCATTAGTTTGCAGTACTTATTAGCTCGACTCCTGGGTTATTGGCTTTGTAGCGTTTAAATTTTTTACGCTTTCCCTACCCTTATACCTCTCGCCACGATTGTCTGGCTGGGGCTATATTAGGGTTGGGAGTTGTTTCGGCATGTCCCCATACATTCCTTCCATTGTAATGGTTGGGGCGGGGTTTTATGTCATTGATATTGAGCCAATTGACATATAAGCTTGGGCTCTCTAGTTCCGCCCGTCTGATTGACATCAGCGGTCAGGTGGCTCGGTGTTTTCTATTTCCGTATCGGTTGTAGATTTCACTCCACCACGGGTTTAGTTGTTGCCAGACAGAATGCCACTCCCGTCTCAAATATCTTTGGGAGTCTGTCATATGCTTATATGTACCCCAAGGAGGACTTCTTCTGAAAAAGAATTATACAAACCTGTAGAGGTTATGAATTCTTTGAAGAAAGTCCTCCTTGGGTAAACCACCACGCCTCCCTCATTCTGTCTGACACGTTCAGCATGAAAAGTGAGGTACGAGGTAGACGGCGAGAGTTACCTGCTCTTGGCTGTGTTGGTCCGGTGGGGCCCTGTAGGGGTGGTCTCACAAGACAAAACGAGTTTTTTGTTTTGTAAATATTTTATTAAAAATATAGTTACAACTGTCGTAGGATTTAAAATGGACATTTTAATGCTTATATGTACCCCAAGGAGGACTTTCTTCAAAGAATTCATAACCTCTACAGGTTTGTATAAATTTCCCAATGAACTCAATTTCCCAATGAACTTTATGCTGTGTGATTACAATGTCAAGGTTTTGGCATTCTAGAAGTTGGTGGTATAGAGATGACAAAACCGTATGGGTGATTAACTTCTTTATTTTCACAATAACGCTGTTTCGGTATAGATTCATATGCTTGAAAACGGTACAAGAATCTACACCGAAACGTCTCTGCTGTGAAAATAAAGAAGTTTGTCATCCATAAAGTTTTGTCATCTGTATAATGTCAAGGGTGTTGACAGTTACACATCTCTATAATGTCAAGGGTGTTGAGAGTTACACATCTCTATAATGTCAAGGGTGTTGAGAGTTACACATCTCTATAATGTCAAGGGTGTTGAGAAGGGTGTTGAGAGTTACAAATCTCTATAATGTCAAGGGTGTGGAGAGTTACACATCTCTATAATGTCAAGGGTGTTGAGAGTTACACATCTCTATAATGTCAAGGGTGTTGAGAGTTACACATCTCTATAATGTCAAGGGTGTTGAGAGTTACACATCTCTATTTGTGGGAAATCTCAGTCTCTAAAAATAATGTCAAATAGGGATAGCATCATCATATGACAAATCCTTTCAGAGAGATATGTGTATATGAAAGGTCACTGAAGAGAAATATCCATTCAATGCTACAACAGAAATCTCTACATGCTGAAGGAAATCACTGTAGTGTATCAGGACCATTCATATCAATCCATTCTCAGCATTAACCGGATCTGAATTTCATTCAAATTCCAACTTCACTGGGTGCTGCCTCCATTCCAAATGAAATCTACTCATCCATAAGTCATTTTATGATGTTTGTAAGACCAAGGGACATAACTCCAAATAGTAGCTTTTGTACAGATGATGTTGCTACAAAAGCAGCTCTCCATATAGACAGTTTACTTGAAATGCTTATGTTTTTAAGTGGATTGTTTTATGATTTATATATTTGTATCTGTCACTATAAAGATTGAATTTGCTTTTCATCAGCTGAAGAAGACAGTATGCCCTTAAGATGCGTTGACAAGGTGTAATGTATTGGCACCAGTGTTGAATGTCTGTTTGTATTTGGGTGTAGATAAGCAGGCACTGATCACCAAGCTGGAGTGTGAAGATGGTGGAGTGTCCAAGGAGGCAGCACACAAGTTTGTTGAGGAGGAGGTGAAGGAGGAGCCGGCGTCAGCCGCCGATGCAGAAACAACAGACGACCTGGTCAGTTCTCATTTATATTGTAGTGTAACTGATCAATCATTGAATAGGATCATCCGTTGGAACATCACTGTGGATATTAATCAAAATAAGTCCACTTACAAGTATATTATTATGTGTATTGTTATATTACACTATTACATAAAGAATGTAATTTTTCCTTATCCTGACTCATGCTCATTTGCTTTCTCATCCTCTATTCTGAACAGTCAAGTGGAAACTTGAATCCCTTCAATTCTCTTGAAGTGAATGTACAATCACTCACCCTGAATTACCTCCCTTATTTCCAGCCAAAACCGGACACGTGACCTCAGCATACCTCTGTCCTCACTCTCTCCTCTATCGCCCAAGCAGACAGTTGGGCGGTCATTCAGGGTCCCTTCACGGCTATAACTTCAAAGTTTTGGATATATAGCACAAATTCTGTCGTGAATGTGCTTATTAATAGCGGGCGAGATGACGCCAGACATCGCAATCCGGTCCTTTTACTACGTCGTCAGCAGTCAACGTAGACATCTCTCATCAGAGTCTAGCAGTTAAGCGGGGTCAACCTACAGAAGATGATGACTTCGTCTTCACTGATGCAGAGGTGCTGGCATGGGTGGCTGATGGTCTCCTGTTATCGTCTCCGTCCAGAGACTCCAATCCGGCCGAGACGTACTGCATGAAGGAAGATGACTTCGAGCGATCACCATACTGCCGATGAAGCCCATTGCCCAGGTAGTAGACAACCGTGAAGCAGCCTTTGAGAAGGCTTCGAAGACACAAGGGCAGCATACTCTGCAGTTCAACACATGATGTTTCCAGCATCACAACATGGACCTCTTCAACAAGGATCCTGATATTGATGAAGATTTCTACCTGGTCTCAGACTCGAAGACTCGCAGCTACAAGGTGGAAGATAAGAAGTTGGCGCAGCTTGATACGACAAACTGTAGGGCATTCTACAGGTTAGTGAGGTCCAGAGCCATCAACGAAGCCCTGATGTGTGCTTTCAAGAATCCTAAGACGGAGAAGATGATCCGGTCTACACTAGTTACACAGCGCAAGGATCAGGAGTTTATCTCCGATCACTTGGCCTCTACGCCGGCGGGCATCACACTACTACGTCACCAGGCCATCTCCCACAGAGTTGAAGTTACATCCAGAAGGCGTTCCAGTGGGTAACAACACAACTGGGCCGACCCCCAACCGATCCTGCTACCACAAATACTACGCAAGATCAGCCAGACGAGGGTCCTACAACTGACTTTGGTAGCTTCTTATTGGCCAGAGAGACTATGGTTCCCACACCTCATAGATCATCACGGCAAACCAGTACTACGACTTCCAGAAAGGCCGAACCTACTCGTCCATCCTCACACCAAGCAGTGTCACGACAACCCAGAAGCGTTCCAGTTACACGTACGAACATGTCACGTACTGCTTCAAGAATCGAGGATTCTCCACCAGAACAGCCAAGGCAGTGACCTTGGCTCTACATAGATCTACACGTACTTGTATGATGACAAGTGAAGAAGCTTTGACCAGTATGCTGTTTGACAGGGGTTCATGGCCAGAAAAGCAACACACCCACAAGTAGCAGACTAGTTGTGTCATCTGAGGTCCACTAGACATCTGAAGGGCTCTACATTGTCTACATACCCTGTGGCAATCAGCTTGGTCATCACCATGAAGACGGGGTGAAGTTGACCAAGGTGCCTGAACTAGTGGCCCTGCTGAGATCTTTCAAGTTAGAAGATCAACAACAGAAGTTCAGAGCACCAGCATGGGACATCAACAGTATTGCAGCATCTCATTAGTGATCTTTATGAGCCGCTGACGCAGACAACATTTGGGTTATTAACTCAAAAGGAAGATATTCCTCCTCGCCTGGGCTACTGCTGCTCGGATGTCAGAGATCCATGCCCTTGACTTCAGCCGTACGAGATTCAACACGGGAAGAAGGGATGCAGTCAATCTAGGCCTTAGATGGGACTTTATAGCCAAGAACCAGCTACCGGGCCAACCGGATCGTCAGTTCTACGTTCCGGCATTATCAACAATCCTGGGTCCAGAAGACACTCAAGATTTATCTTTATGCCCGGTCAGAGCGCTGAGAATCTACTTGCAGAAATCTGCTACGAGAAGAAGGAAGTTCAAGCATCTATTCATCCCGCTATCAACCGCTACGACTGTAGAAGTATCCTGTACAAAGATCTCCTTCTGGATCAGAGCTGTGATCCTAAGAGTCTATAAAGCAGCAGGGTTAGAGCCTCAGAGAGCATCAAACCCACATGAAGCTAGAGCATTGGCCTTGACACTCGCCCTACATGGAAACTGCTCTATATCATCTATAATGGAAGGCTGCTTTGGAAGTCAGACACTGTCTTCGCTAATCACTACCAGAGAGACATCTCCACAGAAGACGTATCAGGGATACATCAGTTCGGCCCTCTAGTCGTAGCGCAACAACTCACTGTACCGGCCAGACGTTGAATTAATCTCACCCTTGTCACGCAGATTCGTTGACGCCAGGCAACTGTCCATTGCCACCGGCTGAGAGTCCATGTTCCCCTGACTTACGAGATAAGTCAGCGCATGAGTGATACATAGACTCAGTTATGGTAATGTTCTTGCCTTAACAGATGGGTCGCGATTCCAGTTTCGGTAAAGATCTTACCGTAACATATTGGGTCGTTGCAGATATCTAGACAACCAGGCGTCTAGTATACTAAATCCACAAAATTTGAAAAGTTTACTTCTAATACGAATGTATATGAAGGTGGTCCCCCGACAAGCATCAAGAATTATTGAAGTTAGATGCAGAAGAAGAAAATTCCCAGGGGGTATATATATCAAGCAAACGCTGATGAATACAATCATGCAGGGAATCCCGTTAGGTGGTTGACCCACCACCGATTCCATCGGCTTCAGTAAGCAAATAAGCATGAGTCAGGCTAAGGAACAATATGTAATTTTTATGATAAAATTAATATTTTATACTTATCCTGACTCACGAGATGAAGCCCTCCCAACCGTCCCCTCTCACCGCACAGGTTTCCCTGTAAATCTGTGTGGGGCTTATATCGGAGACAGTGAGGACAGAGGTATGCTGAGGTCACGTGCCCTGTTTTGGCGGGAAATAAGGGAGGTAATTCAGGGTGAGTGATTGTACGTTCGCTTCAAAGGAATTGAAGGGATTCAAGTTTCCACTTGACCGTTCGGAAGAGAGGATGAGAAAGCAAATAAGCATGAGTCAGGATAAGTATAAAATATTAATTTTATCATAAAAATACATTATTTTCATTAGCCTGATTGGCATTGTGGGGTAGCCTTAGTGGTTTAAGCATTGGCTCATCACACCAAGGCAGGTTTGATTTCTCATGTGGCTTCTGTGCAGTGCCCATTGCTGGTGTCCCCCACCATAATTGCTGGAATATTGCTAAAAGCGGTGTAAAACCAGTCACTCCCCCACTAATACCCTGGTCATTTGATCAGTGGGCACCTTCATTCTCAGCTCCCTGTGGAACATCCTGTTAGAGTGAGTGAGTGAGTGAGTTTAGTTTCACTCCACACTCAGGAATATTTCAGTTATGAGGTGGCGTCATCCTGTTAGAGGGGATGATATTTGAAATGCATCTAGTTTCAGACTAAATTGTTCAACACCAACTATAATCATGTTTTATCTGATTGCAGATGGATCAGTTGGAGTAGATTCGGCAAGACAAAATCAAATACTACCAGGGTTACAACTGATTTTGTTGAAGGCAAATCCCTGGGTTGGATTCAACAGGCAGCTCAAAGATTGTCAACACGAATGAGATTCTGTTCATAGCTCAGCTCCTGGTCATGAACAAGTCTTAAGTTGCTTTATATGTCATCTGAATGTAAATAATCATTATCTCTCCATATGGATAACAATTTTAGTCAATCTATTGCTTACAGGCACCCAGCTACCTGTGAAGAGCATTCATTGTGTCATTTGTTCTTGTAGCCAACAGGAGTTCTGGCATAGAAGAATAACTGGATGCATTTCATATTTGCGAGATGGCAATCTCGTGAGATCCTTTATTCTGTTTCTGGGGATTTTCTGATCAGCCAATCAGTGTGTTGAATTCTAAATTCTCAACCGTGTGTGTTTTGTTTCTATAGCTAGACAATCAACATAAATGGGCAGTTCAGAATTGAGATTAAAATGGCCATACTTTGTTTTGGATATTTTAGCTCGTTTCAGTCTTCTGATTAATTACAAAAGAAAGGTCTGGTGGATATTGACAGAAGTATCAAATAAGAAAAAATGATGTTAAACGAGATCCTGGAGATGGAAAAAAGAGTTATCAATAGTTTTCACATTCTTTAGATGTCAGCTGGTCTGTATTCATCATATCTAACTTTATCAATGAAAGATATTTTAAGATCAATGTAAGTTTAGTCTTTCCAGTTGAAAAAAGAATCTTTGTGTGTCAACTATTGGGGCAATTCACACAGCATTCCAGTGAGGACATTAGACACTACCATGATGAATGTTGGTGTATAAGCCATGTCCAAAATGGGACTTATAACTTTTTGTGTGTGTTAGTACCTCCATTTTCTGGTCAATTGTTACCAGAATATATTTCATAGCTAAACAAAAATAATTACAAATTAAATGTTCCATTTAACTGTGCTTTATCCTCTTATTTGGTTAGCATATTTGAGGGATTTACACTTATACCTTGTGCTTTAGTAATAGTCGGGCCAAATGTGTTCTTAAGAGCTAAAGTAGCAGTATTGTCACTGCCAACTTGCAAGAACTGCCAGTCTGTAGGTTTGTGTAAGATGTATGTATTTACAAGAATTCATTTAGAAACATGAGCACAGTGAACATCAAATGCAAAGTGTAGCCAAAAGATGATTGAAAGGAAAAGCACTATTCCGTGAAAGCAGAGACCTGGTGAAAGGCGACGGTGCAAGGCGACGTTTAGACAAAGATTCTAATGTCGTTTTCAGGCAAGTGATGGGTCTCTGAAATAAAAATTTCTGATTAAGAAAATGTAATGTTTATTTAAAATTAATTTGTAACAGCACAGTTTTTAAAACTTCCACCTGTAAGCCCTGCCTGGAACTTTACAACAATCCTTGCCTGAGGTTTCCAAACATTATTTATGAAAGAACAGGGTTAGGGTTAGAGGCTAAATTTGAAGATGAGTTTATTGGCAGAAGTCTTTCCTTCAATTAACAATGGAAATATTTATAAGAGAATGTGGCTGTGGTTTGTTAACATGTTTATGTGCAGTACAAATTCCATAAGAATGTTTATTTAGAGGCATTGATGTTATAAATATTGCATCCAGTTTGATATTAAATATTAACCAGTTACATGGACACAAGTCCTGGGCGTGGTCCCCATCTAGCTACTGAGAAGGGCCTTCTGCAGCAAACTTGCCTTTGCCCAGGAATGGTTGGAAGTCCCATATCCCAAGATAGACTCAAGACAGGGTATGAAACTTCCCAAAAATTTCAGCCTGACCACAGGGCTGGTTAGATGTAAAACTTGCCAGCCCTGACCAAAACTTATCTGCCCACAAAATATCTTCATATACATGTCTAAATTTCATGTGAATTTGAGAATCTGGCAGTTCGTGTTGAAAAATAACCCATCTCAGGCAGTCGGGCAGGCAGGCATTTGACTGCTTGTTTTGTCTTAAATTTTCCAGAAAACTCATCACTGTACCGACATCTGAAAACAGCAATATGTGCCTGTTTGCTATGAAAATAAATGATTTTTTTTATTGCTATGAAATGCTTTTTATTTGTGTGTTATCATGGTATTGAGTAATTAACATATGTTGTCATCAACTGTCCAGCATGAACGTCAGTCCTGAATTAGGCCAGGTCAAGGCAAACAAGTAGTTGATAGCATCTTGGCACAAAGCCATAATCACTTGATCCTCTTGTTTCACCTGGGACCTATTCCAAAGTTGTGTTTGTGTTGACAAGTGTCCAGGTGGTTCCTCGTTCAACAAGGCAGGTTTCACAGCAGTTTCTCACACACTGACAAAAAGTAATCCATCTTTGTGGTTAAACTGATACAACTATGAGTTGTGCCAGTGGTGATCAAAATTTATGGACAACAACTCTTTACTTCGTGTGTGCGACATTTCGATACAGATTCTTGTCAAGCATTCCTTCCTGTACAATGGTACAAGATCTGTATTGAAACGTTGCACTCAGGAAATAAAAAGAGGTTGTTATCCATAAAGTTTGTTCAATATTGCAAAAAGATAGTCACCCAAATGTGTCCACTACCTTGATAAGACTGGAATAATGTAAGACCCAACTCACAAAGTTGTATTAACATCCTGCTGCACCCTCCATCATTCAACCTCAAGACATTTGGTGCCCGTTATTTTGGTTCAGTTGCAAACGCACTATGGAACTCACTTCCACTTAAATTACGTACAGCTCCATCCCTTCAAGTGTTCAAGTGTAACCTCAAAACACACCTTTTCAGTCGATACAAACAGTAAATCTCTCCAAGCTCATATTTACGACTATCTTCTACAATACTGATTCATATGACTTTTTGATGTGTTTGTATTTAAACATTTGTGTGCACTTTGAGCATGCCCCTTTGTGGTATGGAGTATTGCGCAATATAAGTACCCTTATTTTTATTATTATAATCACTCTATAAGTTTAAAGCGATGTAGGTCGAGGACATTTACCACTTTTGCAAAGCTGCCAGCACAATTGTGCCAAAGTGACTAACTTAAAAATAACAGCTATTTTGGTATTTAGGATTTGGAGAATCTAGGCAATGCAGTTCTTCACTGCCAGTTGTGGTACCAAAGGACATGTGCCCCCAGTAATGCCACAAGGAAAAGAGTCACACTGGGTTCTCTTCTCAAACAACACTATCATATGCATGTCATGTTCGTACACGATCACAAAATTACAACAAACACAAAGTTTCTTTCTTAAATCATATTTATAAACATTTTGAACATTTAACAGAACAAAAATATAAATTCATAATGCCACTGTTAAGTTGTATTTACAAAATCTCTTCCCACGGAGCATTCCAACTTAACTACTATACACAGCTTACTCATGCATGTCGTGTATTTTCCGGCACATAAAGAGCTGTGACTGAAGGTGTGTATTTACTCTTGATGTACAATGTTCCAGTATGTAAAACATTCACGAGCTCTATCTTTACAGTGTCTTAAGAATTGCTTGAAAATCACTTGAAGCACCATATGCAGCACAATAGAGTGAGTCAGCTTGTAACTGATTATACACATTAACATGTACTAAAGGAAAATACTAAACAAAACGACAAATAAAACTGCATATCAATAAAATTATTAATGTTCAGGACGTGCTATATTTTGTGCATCAAGAACACATCATTTTAAACATTCTCCTGGTTCTGGACAATATCAACACCCATGTCATACTACAAGATGTATTTAAAGCCAACTGATACATTTCCTGGAATGATTAGATGCTAACATGCAACAATGAACTGCAAAGTTTTACATAATGATCAGTATGCACTGAATTGTTCATGCAATCACACAAACATTCTTCACATCTTCAGGATTGTCTGAGGATTTTCCCATTCCATAATCCTGAATGAAAGTATGAACAATCACCTTATTGTCACAGTTAATATGTTCACATTACTGTCTTGTGTGATTTCAATTTGAGTCATTATTGACATTTTGTAAAATACCAATGCCAGATGCTCCAGTTGTAACGACATGCACAGTGGTACAGATGACATACTACATGATGAATGACATATAATACAAGATACACCTTCCATGTTTCACATACATATGTACAGTATCAGACGATACAGATAATAGGATGTCACCACCGACACTATTTGCAGCATGTACAGCTGCACCAGTTCCACTACCACTCTCTATTGCTTGACACTGAACATGCTAAAGGATTCCTATCCACAAGATTTTGAAAACATCTGTTTCGGTGCAAAATTGTCTGTAGCACTTGAAAAGACATCCCCAATCATTTCAGACTTTCAATCTGGTCCTATCTCTTTAGTGGAATTAACTATTATTTCACCAGGGACAGACGGATCTTGTTTCTATTCTTTCTTAGCTCTCTTTGCTGGATTGCTTGGTGGTCGTCCTCGTCGTTTAATAGGCTTTTCAGAATCTTTCTTTGCAGGTGTAATGTTATCCTCTTTCTCTGTCTGGTTTGGTTCTTCTGTCTTAACAGGGTTTCTAAACCGCCTTGTATTGGGTCTCTCAATTGGAAGGATCTTGTACTTGCCAATGTACTTAACCTCTGAAACTACAAGTATCTCTGAGGTGGGCTTGGCATCAGTGGGTTTCAATTTTGAGTTATTTTCAGGTAAGTTTGTGTGTCCATCTTCAGCTGCTGGTTTTACTGCTGTTTTGTCAGCTCTGGCAGATGGCGATAGAGACTGTTTCCTAGCACTACCTTTAGCTTGGGGTGTATTAGTGCGCCTCCCTCTCCCTCGACTCTCTTTGAGTGTTTGAACCACTTCTTTGCTTGCTTCAGATGACTGTCTTCTAATTTTGCCAACAGTTTTGGATTCTGTCGGAGACTCAGCAGGAGTTTTATCACGAGTTTCTGCAGACTGTTTCCGTGGACGTCTTCTAGGTTTAGTTTCTGGAGAGTCCAATTTTACTGCTTCCTCTGATGACTGTCTTCGTGACATCCGATTAGGAACATCTGTTGCAGTTGAGGTATCAGTTGACAGTCTTGGAGCTTTTACTGCAGAAGGTGACAGCTGTGGAGATCTACCTCTTCCTGCAGGTGGCTTCGGTGTTACTGTGTCGTATGGCACTGTTGCTTGCTTGCGTGGCCGACCTCTACTTCTGGGTGTTTCAGGAAGTGCAACAATATCAATTGAACCTGGATTGTGTTTTCCTATGGGTTTCCCATTGTTTAGAGGAGGTGTTTCTGCAGTAGATTGTACATCACCCACAACAGCGTCCAGTATGGCTCCTTGGACAGCTGTGGATACAGAAGAAACCGGAATTGCATCAGCCAAAACATCTGTCACAACAGGAAGGTCAAAAGCATCCATGAAGCTCCTTTTATGCCCTGCTGCCTTTTTTATTGGTCCTGAAAGCTCTTGAACCTTCTTGCTAGTTTCTGGTTCCGGATTTTTTGCAGCAAGATCCAAGCTTGTCTCCATGCTCTCATTACGTGCAACATTTTTGGGTGGTCTTCCACGACCTCTGCCTCGTCCTTTTGGTGGCATGGAAATCTCAGGGAGTGGTTCAACATCAGAGTCCTTCTGAACAGTTAGTCTGGATATTGCAGCATCAGCAATCAGATCCAGTGGATTAGACTTCTTGCTCTTACCAGGTGTAGGAATTTCAACTACCATCAACTCTGAAGGTCCTTTTGTAACCTTTGCAGGCAAAGCATCAGTTTTGACTATAGACCTTTTTACAGCTGCCTTTATTTCAGGAGATGGCATGGGTTGCATTTTTATTGGGGTAATAGTCTTGATGACTTTGCTGGATTTGGCTGCTGTTTTCACTGCTTTTCCTGTGTCAAATTCAGGAGATGTGACTGTTTGACTTGGCTGTGAAGGTTCTGCTGCCTTCAAAGAGTCCTGACTAGTGGCAGATGTTGAAATAATTTGACTGGCAGCTGAAGAGGCAACTACTGGGACAGGAGTAATTACAGGGGTGGACTTTGTGTCTGCACTGCCATCCTTGCCTTGCACTTGATCTCTCTGCATGTCTATGGTGGTAAACCCGCTCACAGGTTTTGATTGTGTACTAATTACTGTCCCTGACTTTAATTTGTATCCATCAAATACAGACTGGTTAACGGGTTCAGTAGGTTTCAGTTTCAAGAATGGTTTCACTGCAGCTAGGTATGATTGTCCGGGTTTCACAATGACTGCTGACTTGGCAGTAGTTAAATCAGAATCACTCGATGATTCTTCCGAAAAGGATAATGGTTTAGGTGGTGACAGTGCTTCAACTGATGATGAACCTGGACTTCTTAACTCTGTGGCAGGCATATTACCCATGGCAAGTTTTGGCAACACTTCCTGAGAATCTGCAGCCTTGTTTGTTACTGTATGTGATGGGGATTTTACAACTGCCTTTGGTTTCTGAGACTTAGCAACAGCTGGAACTGGTTTCTTTGTTACGTGTGATGTTTGAATAAGACTCTTTGCAGTAGTTCCCTCTGGAGCAGATGCAGTATGAACTGAAGATTTCATTGTGGTTAGCAGCTTTGAAAGAAACCCTGGTGTTTGTATTTGTTGAATAGTTACGCCTTGTTTCATTAAATCTTGAATAGCTTTGGCAAGTAATGCAGCATCACCTTGTGCTCCCCGCACTGAGATAACAGGACCACGAGTAGGAGTTTTAGTTGGAGATGGGGACCCATCAGAGTCTGAGAGCAGCTCAACATCTGCAACAGGTGAAAACCCTCCAGGGGACTGACCTGCATCAACACTTGATCTTGGGGACAAGCTTGATGCTCCTCCTGCTGAAGGAGATGTTGGAGAGGACAGGCTGCCTTTGGAGATCTGAGATTCAGTTCGCTGTTGTGGACGCTGATTTATTAATGATGTAACTGGCTGCAAAGACGGGGTATTTGGAACAACTGATATAGTTTTGTGTGGTGTAAGCATTGCCCCTGTTGTACTTAGAGATATACACTGAGGGGCTGAACTGGAGGCCATAGGCTGAGATGCTTGTGATATGGTACCTACAGGTGACTGGCTTGAAGGTATAGGTTTACCAGAAGGAAAGTAAAATTTCACTGGACTTGACTTTTCTGGAGACAGCACAGGTTTCCTTTTGTCTTGCACTCCCTTCTTCACTGGGGTAGCTTTGTGTTCAGGATTTACATGACTTGCCAAGAGTGTTGTCACCTTCTTTCCAGCAGTACCTGTCACTGTCTGTAACTTGGATAATAGTTTCTGGCCAGACACAAGAGAAGCAACAGGAGCAGGTGATGTCACTGTCTGTACCTGAGGTATAACCTGTTGTCCAGACACTAAAACTGACCCAGAGGCTGTACCCAATGTTGACACTTGGGGAATTAGTTTCTGACCAGATATCAAAGAAGCCACTGAGCCCATGGATGTGACAACTGACTGAGGTATTAACTTTTGTCCAGACATCAAAGACGTGCCAGCATAAGTGGTTACTGTTTGTCCTTGAGGCAGAATCGGTCTTCCCGATACCAAAGAAGCAGCGCTAACTGTAGCTGGGTTCACTGCCAACTGTCCAATAAGCTGACTATCTTTTGAAGACCCTGACAAGAGTTTGATCACTTTAGAAGCAGTTATATTTCCTTGGGAGGTTGGGCTGCCTATTAATTTTATTCCTGAATGAACAGTCTGTCCTGGTGATGCAATGACAATATGTTGCGGTTCTGATGATACAGCTCTCATTGCCTCTGGACTACTTTGTAAAGATGTGAGGTCTATTGGTGACTCAGCAGAAGTCTGATTATTTATGGTTGGTCCAGGTCGGGGAGGATCTTTCTGTTTTCTGGCTCCTCTCCCTCTTCCACGTCCTCTTCCTCTCTCTATGACAGGCAACATGTCTGGACTCTTCACCTGAATGGTATTATCACCAACCTTAACATACTTCTTGATGATATTACCTCCGGGAATCTGCACAGTCTGTGGCCCTATGGCTTGTGTTGCTGGTTTAACATTGATTATCTTCATTGTTCCAGTGTCTGTTGAAGATTGGCTTTCATCAGATACCACTGGGCTAAAAGATTGTGGTTGGTTGGTCATCTTCCTCTTTATAAGCTGCTGGATGAGAGTCCCAGCTTGTGTGTCACCACTCTTCAATGCTTCTATTGCTTTCATGAAGTCACTACTCTGTTGCTGGTCCAGATCAGTCACAATACTTTCCACTATTTCCCCACTCTCAGTCTTCTTTTTAACTATGATTTTGGGCCCAGAAGTGCTTGGAGTTGATGCTAGAGATCCTTTAAGTACAGTTACTCTTTGTTTCTTGACCGGAGAGGATTCATTACCAACAGCATCCTTGTCTACCTCTTGAAGGATACCATCTGCTCCTACAGTATAGGTCTTGGCCATACCACCTACCTGTTGAGCAAGAAGGGTAGTAGTACCTTGTCCATCTTTCAATGCCGAGATGACTGGCAGCTTGCCAGTCTGGGCAGAAGTTCCATGTATGCTGCCACCACTGGCTGAACTTGGCACAAGTGAATGGGACTTATCTAGCTGAATATATTGCAAGTTGGGTTGAGTACTGGTACTGGCAGTCAGTGGAGATGGTTGTTTTCCTGTTACATTCTGAGTTTGAGGCAGAATTAATCGCTGGTTCCCTACAATGATTGAACCTGGGGCCAACTGTTTTTCATTCACAACTGTCGTGCCTTGAATATCAGAATGTTTCTCAGCTGGAAGGCACACAAGCTTATTTCCACTCTGTACCACCTTCATCATTGTCGGCAGTGAGGTCTGACTGGAAGTAGGGGAGGATGTCAGTTGACTCTTCTGCAGAATTTGGTATACCCCAGGTGCATTAGACACCGCAGAGGATGTGCTGGACAGAATGGTTGGTCTGGTTTTACTTTGCAAGATTATTGGTTTTACTGAAGTTGCAGCTGCTTGTAAAATCTGGCCACTAGTCAGAAGCTGTGAAGGTGTTGTAGCAACAGCCTTAAGTCCAGCCACACTAGGATTAACTCCTGGCGCTAAACTAGTAGGTGGGAGGGACACTATCTTCATTGTCTGCACACCACCTGAACTGGAACCAGCGGGAAGAGTCAGAATTCCTGGCAGACTACGTCCTGTGCTTTGGGACAGGATATACTTCACAGTATTTTGGCCTGCAACCTCTGCCTTACGTTTCAAACCACGAGCTAATAGTTCTTTTGCTGACAGCACCACGTTACTTGATGACAGAAAGTCTGGCTGTATGATACGAAGACATGACTGCAGAACATTGGCCATAGGGGTCTCTACCAGATCTCTGGCAGCATTGTGAGAAGGAACATTCTTCTCCCACATAATGATGTGGACTTGATTGGGTGGAATAGCTGGCAACTCTGTGGTATACTGGCACAGTGTGGACTTTAGGTCATCGCACTCCATCCACTGATTGCCTGCAACATGTAGGGAAAGGTAAGACTAATGTCATCATTGTTCATAGCAACAACATGTAATCTCTAACTTTTTCGAGACTTTAAAATGACACTTGCATTAATTAATCATATATTATTCATAATAAGTGCTACAACATGTCTCACTGAGCTGAGAATTATTTCATAACTATGTATCCATGAGGATTTATAACAACATAACAGTTTATTTCTATTTTAAAACCCATTTACAATGTTGACACACATGCCAATTAGGGTGCTTAACCTGCTTCTAAATATTTCAGATTCATCCCATTTAGGGGAAAAACTTCAAATTCAGATGGACCATGGACAAAACTAAGTTGACATCGACATCTGGTCCTAGTGAGCTAATTCATTCTATTGTATGTTATTCATTTTATTGTACGATATCTGTATGTTACTGCTTATGCCGTCTTACCTGTTCCATTCCGGATCCAGGCCACAAAGTGATCAGGGTTGTTCTTGTACTGTATGACAGCAGTCACTGTGTAAACATCGGTTCCAAACACAAAGCCCAGCTGGTCAAAGCCACTGTGAGGCAGCCCTTCTTTGAAGTGCAGCAGCAGTACATCTGGGACGCTTAAACACACAATCATTAACATACTTATTAGTATGAAGTGGATGTATACAAAATGGGTTTAAGCTGGGTTCAACATGCTATGACTTTGAAATTATATATGACTTGAGATCTGTATATGTGAGCAAAATAAATAGGTTACTAACACAATAAACATACATGATAAATGAAATTTTCAGACTAAAATTGATATTTTATACTTATCCTGACTCATGCTAATTATGCTTGTCTCCTTCCTCTTGCGGATGATAGTGGAACACTTGAAATCCCTTGAAATTCCTTCTAAAAAAAAGCGGACGTAAAATCACTCACCCACGTCCCTTTCCTCCCTTTTGGCACCCATATGGTCACATGACCTGCCATATTTGTCACTCTCTCCTTCTTCGCCCTCGAGGACGGTTGTGAGAGCACCTGGATCCCTATACGGCACATATCCTTTTATATTTTTGGACCTTACATCTCCAGAGCATTGGTTTTCACAAGTCACGTGATAAAAAGGGGTGAGATAACTCAGCGCCTTTGTGGAACCGTTAGTTGTGCTACAACAAGTGGCCCAAACTGGTGAATGCCTGAGACGTCTTCGGTGGCAATGTCTCTGAGGTAGTGGTTGGCAAACACCGTGTTCGATCTCCAAAAGCAGCCCTCCATATAGTTGTAAACGAGCAGTTTCCATGCAGAGCAAGTGTTGACGCCAGGGCTCTGACTTCATGTGGATTGGAGGCTCGTGGAGGCTCAAGTCCCGCTGCTTTATAGGCCCTTAGTATAACGGCTCTCATCCAGATCGATATCGTTGTCCGTGAGACTTCCGTGGGCGTCTCAGTGGATAAGGGGATGAATAGGCTCTTGAATTTTCGTCGTCCTTTGTAGGTAGACTTCAATGCTCTGACAAGGCATAAGGATAGATCCTGTGTATCCTGTGGCCCAAGGACTGTAGAAAGTGCTGGGATGTGGAACTGTCTGTCAGGCTGGCCGGGCAGTTGGTTCTTGGCAATAAAGTCCCATCTCAGTCCAAGATGTATGATGTCATGATGTCTTGCTTCAAATCGTGTTCGTTCAAAGTCCAGAGCATGTATTTCTGATATCCGTGCTGCTGTTGCTAGAGCAATCAGGAACAGCGTTTTCTGTGTCAGTAGTTCAAAGGATGTCCATTCTAGAGGCTCGTAAGCATCACTGGTGAGATGTTGTAAAACTACGTTCAGATCCCAGGTAGGAGCCTTGAATTTCTTTTGTTTGTCTTCCAACTTGAATGAGCGTAGTAGTGCCAGTATCTCTGGTACTTTGGTCAGCTTGACACCCGTCTTCATGATGATAACTGTGCTAAAAGCAGCCAGGTACGTTGAGAGTGTTGACGTGTCTCGTCTGTCGCCAATGACACAGGTATTCCGCTACTTGAGGATGGGTTGCTTTTACCACTGTAAAGCCTTTCCTCGTTGCATACTATTCAAATCTCTGCCACTTGTCATCGTACAAGTTGCGAGTTGATCTGCGTAGAGCTAGTGTCACTGCTTTCGCTGCTCTGGCAGAGTACCCTCTAGTCTTCAGGCAAGCTTAGACACGCTCCACACGTGTAGCTGGAACAATGACGGATTCCCGTGAGCTTGCTTGGTGTGTGGATGGATGAGCAGGTTCGACCACTCTGGTAGTTTCAGGGTTAGACTTCCGGTTTTTGTATGAGGACGGGAAGCCATACCCTCGCTGGCCAATAGAGCGTGACCCAAATCAGTTGCAATGTTGTCGTCTGCTTGATTTTCTGTATTATTTGTGGTAATAGTGCTGGAGGTGGAAACGCGTATTCGTTTAGTCCTTCTCATGAGATGCTTAAAGCATCTGTTGCCCATGCCTGAGGGTCAGGAATCGGTGAGACGAATGTTGGTAGTTGTTTGTTGAACTTTGTTGCAAACAGGTCTTTCAGCGAAGATCCTACTGTCTGTACGACGAACCGGAACACTTCTGGATGTAACATCCATTCCGTCAGGGATGGTTGTAGTGGACAGATAGGGCGTCTGCTATGACATTCTTTGCTCCTGGAATGTGACATGCCTTCCTGTAGATGTTCAGGTCATCGAAGATGCTGAACAGGAGAAAGCTGAGTTTTAGCAGACTTGTTGACTTTGTTCATCCTTGTTTGTTGATGTAGAACGCTACTGTGGAGTTGTCCGTGTGGACCGTCAGCCTTGCGTTCATTAGTACGCTGGAACAGTGTTGTAAAGCATTGATCACTGCTTTCATCTCCAACAGGTTGATGTGCAGAATTGATCTTGACTCGACCACTTTCCTGCTGCCACTTCATTGTCAAGGTGAGCACCCCATCCTTGTAGTGATGTATCCATGTCGAGATGAGTGTTGCAAGCCGGCTCTGACAAAAAGGTTCCTCCGCAAACATTCGACTTCTGAGTCCACCATAAAGTTATGGTTTCAGACTGTCCGGTAGTATCAGTGGATCCAAACTGTCGAGATGGGCGTTCACAAATATTGTAGTGGGCGCAGCTGTAATCTCCCTCTGCGAGTCATTTCTGCAGCTGAGGTGAGTAGACCAAGCATGCTTTGCCAAGCACGTAGTGTCAACGGAGAGAGCATTGCTTGTGATATCATACGTTGTATCTTGACCCAACGATCCTCTGGGACGACCGTGTGATTCTGTGGTGTGATGAGCCATATTCCCAGCAATTGAAGATCCTGTTTTGGTTCCAACTCTGATTAGGAGATTACTAGCCATCTATTGCAATCATGTCCTACGTTGTAGGTACGTGGATCTATGGGCCCTTGCCATGTCCGACATGGATGCGGAGAGATGATCGATTCTGGAATAATGGCTTGAAGCTTGTCTCATCAATTTTCCGGTAATATGTAATGAAGATGTTGTCACCAGAATCCGAACATTGTGCAGAGATGATGCATAATACGTCGTCTCTAGGTCAGAAAAAAATCTATCATGTACTGGGACTGCCATCGATGTGAAGTCTATTTATAGTTGACCGGCTGCCGCGAGCAGAAACCGTCACACACTTGTCGCTGCAAGTCCCCAGACAACCAATATTAAATCTGCTGACAGGGGAAGTCCTCTATGACCCGTGAAGATAGTCGAACCACGCTGTACCCTGCTAACTGGACTGTAAATGGAGATTTTCCCACGTTGAAAGAGTTGTTTACAACTGTAGACGACTTCCTGGCACGTGACTGTGACGTCACTGGTGTTGCAGGAAAATGATCCTCGTAGAATCTTGTGCAGTCGTTGATTTCTTCGTCAACACTCGGCTTTGTCCGTAACCTCTCTGTTCAGCTTGTGCCGGAGTTACACGAGTGAACACGTGTCTTGATGGCTGAGTGGAAGCGCGCGAAAACTTCACTGTGTAGTACCTATGTAAGCAAACTGTTCGCCTATCTGTTGTGCCTGTATTCTTCAACTTTATAATCTTTACTGCAGTCGTCATCTTATACATATGTTCTGTAAAGTTGACCGTAACCGATGCCTCGCTGAGGAACTGCGACAATGCTGTTAACTGTCCCTCTGATATCTTGTAAGCCCATGTGATGAAATTTCATCGGATGTTAACTGACATCATTACTTCAGGTGTGCGTCTCTTCCTTCAGCCACACGTTGATCCAACATAGCCAACATCTAGTTGTAGTGTCCAGTTGTGTTATCTTCTTATCTTCCATCATAAATATCTATTACGGGATTCACTGATGATCTTGTAATCTCAAACCCTGATGTATCATGAAGGGCTCCGTATGATGAAGGGAAAATCTGCTATCGTTGAACGGCGGGACATGCTGACTCTAATTATAATCTTCCCCGTGAGTGCCTGCGCGCAGGTTGATGAAGGTCCAAGTTTGAAGATCCGTATCTGTGCAGACTGTAGAATCCTGGAGAACGACTGGATCTACTTCTTTGTTAGAATCCTTCCTGCTGAGACACTGAAACTGCGTGGAGGCTCCATCGTGGACTGCTAACGCTAAGCTGACGTTCGTTGAATCCTCCAGGCTTTTAAATGCTGATACTTCTGACAGTAAAGATTTTCGCAAATGTAAACGTTCGTGCAGGCCTTCATCTGAGAGAGCTTATATAGCTAATATTCCTTCACGCAGGTCGACTGTCATCGGAGGGGTCTGCTATGCTGAGCTGACGTTAGTAGAGTTCTCCAGACTTCTAACTTCAGACAGTGAAGTTAGACATTTCCCTATCTGAAGATCCATAATGCCGTGAGTTTCTTTATGTAGATCTGTATGCAGAGCTGCATGCAGGTGAACGGTCCCGGTGGGACCGTGTATTCCTCCTGGAGTCTTGAGATATCTCTCTAAGCCTTCACGAAGGCTGATTGACATAATCTCCCCTCTCTCTATAGGATGATCTGTATGAAGAGCTTCGTGCAGGCGTGCTATCCCGATGCGATAGTGTATCCTTCCTGGCGTCTAGAGATGAATCTCTAGGTCTTCGTGAAGGTGGGTTCCTGGACGTAGCTTCCCCTCTGTAGGAGTGCCTTCGCTCAGGCTCTCGATGGGCGTCAAGAGTCCAATGGAGATGAAGACTCATATCTGCGACGTCTGTAGGGTTCGGGAGAACGCCTCGATTCCTTCATGCGTGGAGACTTCTTAGCAGCAATCTCTGGAGCGTCTATGTTGGTAGCAGAGTCCAGACTCCTCACTTCAGATGGGGAAGATTGTCGTGTCAGTGAGCCTTCGCGGAGGCTTCCCTCTTCATATGGATGTGGTGGGGAGACTGTAGAGCCTTCACGCAGGCTAGCAGTCGTTGTAGCGGTCTTCATAGCAGCCTTCTCCTGAGCGAAGCGACGCTCCATCATCGACATCATCTGGTCTGTAAACTGTTGCATGAACAGTCCCGAGTTGAAGTTCTGCGTTGTCTGAAGAGACTGCTGCAGGGATGATGCATCTGATACTGAAGAGACGTCACCTAAGGCTCGCTGCACTTGTGAAGAGTTGACGCTGCTGCTATCTCTGGTACCCGATGTCTGCGTTGATAGGGTCTTCTGTCAATGTCTGCGCTGATAACAATGCCGATGTAGCTGTAGAAGCAGGCTTTGTCTTCTTACTGACGATGGTGACTTCAGGTATGAGGATGGGTGGATCATCATAAACATCTGCTTCTTCCGGAGGAACAATCTCGGCTGAAAAAGACCTCGTCTTCTGTGTAGAGCTGATCTTAGACTTCGCTGAAGTCTTCATGGTAGTAGCCTTCTTCTTCTGCGAATATGATGATTTATCTTCTTCATCTGCGATGGGGTCAGCTCAGTAGACGATGATCTCTTATGGCCTCCGGCGTTCACCACTGGTACATCGACCTGCTCCCGAGAAACGTTCAGCAATTCACTGGAATTATGAATATCTGCTGTAGTGGTTAACACACGGTTATCAGCGCAATCACTTGATTTAGACATGACTTGTGAATACCTTCGTACCCAGTCCTTAGCACGTCTATGGATGGAAAAAAGGTAATTATTAAATTCAACCGAAGTTAAATTTACACAAAACTTACAGCAAGAGCTGAAAGAACATGAAACAGTGCAGTTAGGACATAATAAATGAGGGTCAGCCGCAGACACTCGGTACCTACAACGAATACAAGTTTTCATCAAATGTAAACATGAAGAAAACACATGTCATACAACGGAAAATTTAGATTAAATTCCAAACCGTAAAGTAGAATATAATCCCCAAAAACCGTATACAGCAATAATTTTGATGTAAGGTCCAAAAATATAAAAGGATATGTGCCGTATAGGGATCCAGGTGCTCTCACAACCGTCCTCAAGGGCGAAAAAAAGGAGAGAGTGACAAATATGGCAGATCGTGTGACCATTTGGGCGCCAAAAGGGAGGAAAGGGACACTACTTGTGGGTGAGTGAATTTACGTCCGCTTTTTTAGAAGAGAACTTCAAGGGATTTCAAGTGTTCCACTATCATTCGCAAGAGGAAGGAGACAAGCATAATTAGCATGAGTCAGGATAAGGAAAAATTACTATTAATAGGTTACAGAACTACTTTGGTTTGCTAAAAAAGACAAAATATATTGTACAACATTACCTGTAAAGTCAATACCATTATTAAGATTATCATTTCTCATCCAAAACTGTGTTCCACGGGAGATATTGCTTGTGTGAGATCAAACGATATCTCCAATGAGATATCGTTTTGACAGTATATTTTGTACAATGCCCTGACAATGCTATGACGTCATGAACTTGATCACGTCACAATGCTATGACATTGCTGCACTGCAAGTCTAATAGCAGACCGTGTACAGAGATGTACATTTTTCATTGAAACTAAAGAAGAGTTATTTTTGATGATATATAGAATCTCACCCTCATGTCTTCTGACATCAAATATATCAACACTCGTTGATAAAAGTACAAATATCCTTGGCAAGCCAACATGACTAAAACAGAACTTACCTCTTGAAGGTCATTTTCATCCTTTTCCCAGGGGCATTGCACTGGAAGCAGTTTCTCACAAAGCATGGTTCCTTCATGTTGAAATCTGCAGGCACCTGTGGGAAGGAGGGCAGTATCTTGGAATGGTCATCATCTTGGTGATAGGAGCACTGATCACAGGTGAAGGTGTACTTGAATTTGATCTTGAACTTCTCCTTCAGCACTGCTGGCTCTCTCACAAGCAAAGGCAAGGCAAAAAGCGGACTGTCATTCTTGCCTCTTTCACACTGCAATCTGGGCTGCAGAACGTCCCAGATTTTCTCCCTTATGTTGTCCAATATATCCATGGCTTTGGAATATTCAGTTAAAGTCTTTACTGAGATTCTGCTTACTCGGGTGGTTGTTTCAGATTGAGTTTGTTGACCTTCACCAGTTAATTGAGCATCAGGGGGTGTACTTTTGACAGTAGGTGCTTCAGTGTTAGGTTCCACTGTATTGTCAAGTTTGAGGCTCTCTCCATTCTGAACAAATGTGGAGCTGGCACTTTCATCAACTCGAACAGTTTCAGCCTTGGCCGATTCTGCTTGTGCTTCTTTGGCCAAACATTCTGCAACTGCTTCCTTGTGATCTTCCTGTTCTTTTGCCGTGAGTTTTTGCATGAGAGTTTGAGCTTGGTAGTAAGCCTTAAGCAGAGTTGTCAATACACTGTCCTTTACTGACTCTGCCGACTTCTCATCTGTGAAAAGTTTCTGGATAGTCACACTGTTACAAAGTACTATCATTACCACATCAAGCCAACACATGGCGTCCTTGTTCTGCCACTGAATGAATAAGTTCAGACACTTCTTATCTAGGAGAGTTACTGGTCCAGTATCTTCCTCGGCAATTTCACCAGGTCCACCTGGTAGCTTTGGTGCAGCTGATGTAACATTCGATAAATATTTCAGCACATTTAACGTTGGAATAATGGAGTGACTGACAACTCCCTGGGTAGTGTTGTCCTGCTGTGTAACAGTGGCAGCTGTAGTTGAGACAGAGTCTTGTCCTTCAGAACATGGAGAAGTCATAGCTATTGAGCCAGGCAAAGTTGTTAAGGAGGATTCACTGACTAAGATTGGTATCTTCTGTGATGTCTGAGCTTCTGTTGACGTCACTTGAGATACACTGCTCTGATGGGAAGATGGCTGTTCTTGAACAGATGTCGATATTACTGGACATGAAATAACATTTGGCATTGTCTGAGATGCTAGTGTAAAAATACCACTTTGGTTGGAAACTGGCATATTTATAATAGTGTTTGGCTGAACAGTGTGGACACTTGTTTCAACTAAATGTTGTTTGTTCATCAGTATCATGTCTTCAGACATGCCTTGACTTTGACTAGGGAGGCCGACTTGATGAACATCCATGGTCTCCTCAGAGCCCTCCTGAGAGTATAATGCTTCACTTTGAGCGACAACAACATGGTGGACACCCATCAATGTCTCGGTATAAGAAATAGGAACCTCTGACTCAGCACCTTGTATCTCTGATGATACAAGCTCAAGTGGAACACTCACCACCTGATTCTCAACTACTCCACCTGCAGATCCTGTAAGTTCTGACACAGGAACTACAAATTCTTCAAGCTGTAAATCTTGATGGTGAGCAACTTCCATGCCAGCATTGTTCACAACAACCTGTGTCATCTGATCATGTTCCAAGAGAGGAGCCGTTTCAGACATCACCTCGGCAGGTTCCTGACCTGGAACACTCTCCACAGTCTCTTCCATAAAGCTTTCAATAGGCTGCTGCATCTCACCTGCAGCCAACATTTCTGTTGCTATAAGTGATCTGGATGCCTCAGACACCTCATGTTCTAAAATAGGCACATTTTCTATCGTTTGAAAGGGCTGAGCATCAACAATAGTTTCTGAAATCTGACCAATTGTTGAATATTCAAATGTCTGAGGAGCTATCCCAGTCACACCAGACTCTTCCATGTTCCCAGTAATGACACTCATACCTTGAGCCACTGAAACTGATGAGGGTGAAACAGCACCAGCCCCATCCCGAATATCTGCATGGTGATCCTGGATAGCTTCTGTGCTGCCTGACTCAATGACTGTGTGATTAATAGCTACTTCTTCTTCACAAGCTACTATGGTTTGTTCACATGGTATCTCTACAGTCTGAACACCCACAGTTGGTATATCGGAATTTGTTGTGCCTTCAATGTCTCTTTCAGATTCCAAATTTTCACCAGCTGGTATGAATGTCTCACATGTTTGTATCAACATGTTTTCCTCAGTACCAACAACAGTTTCACCTGCAACCAAATCAGTCTCATTCTGAATCATGCCCACCAATTGTCCAGCATCCACAATCTGACTTCCATCACAAACATCAGATTGAGACAACTCAACATTACTGACAACTGTATGTGTGGCTGATGTCACTTCACCCTCACATTCAACAGTATCAGCTGCAGAGACTATAGCGGTGGTGAGTTGTACAGTTTCAACACTTCTCTGAACATCGTCAACAGGTGCACTGACACAATCATCTTGTCCAGGTTCTACCTCTTCATAATGATTTGGTACATCTGTTATTGCTGTTTCAAACTCCACATTGGTGGCGTTAACAGTAGCCACAGCTGTATCATGATCCCCTAGAGCAGCTTCAGTAACTTCCTCCTCAGCTGTATCTACACCACCCTGTTCACTGATCACTGTAGATGAAAGCTCCACCTGCTCACACAGTACATCAGAATTATCGGCTGCATGACATGGTTCCTCTAAAACTATGCCCTCTTCTGTTTCAGGAACAACTTGCATTTCAAACTGATCCACAGTTGTCTCCTTAACAATTGTGTCCACTGCTTCTGCAACAACTGTTTGGGACTCCGTTGATTCACCCTGTATTTGGTCATCTCTTGAGTCCTCCTTGACTTCAGAAGCACCTTGCGAGTTGTCACTGAATGGTTCACCAGCAACCTGAATACCTTCTCCTGTGGCATCTGCACTGTTAGCATCATCCAAAGCAGCAGCAACTATTTCTGTCTCTCCATGAAAATCTGTTACAGAGTGACCACCTTCATGATCTTGGATAACTGTGTCCATTTGTACAGAAAATGCTTCAGGCACGATTTGGACAGTCTCCAATTGTTGAACACTTGATGTGCCAAACTCATCTATATCTGGGTTTTCTTCTGAATTATCCACATGCATCAAAGCCTCTTGGCTTGTCAGTTCCTGGGCTACAGGAGAATGCTGTTCACCTTGGCTCTCTGTCAGAACAAACCCCTGTTCTAGATTGTCATTGCGTATATTCTCAGGAATGTCTTCTTGGTCCTGATATTCCATAAGCTCTGCTGGTGGTTGGTCTGTTACCTGGACCCCTGACACAGACACTGGCTGAGTGTCCTCCCCTACAGTGTTCATTGTTAGAACTTCACTCTGACTGTCCACACTCTGAGCTGGAGCAGGTTCCATAATCTCATCTACATCCTCAACAGGATTCTGGCTCTCAATGTTACTTTGTAGATTGTTCTCACCATTACTAACGCAGCCTGGAGTGAGTTCCTCCTTCCCCGACTCACATGTGCTCTCTAACGCACCAGCACTGCCAGTCAGGATTCCAGGTTCACAGGTCACATTTTCACCTGGAATATTACAGGAACCTTCTTGGACTGTACCCTCATTTGTAGTGTCTTCACCAACTGACTCTTGCTTTGCCTCATTTACACCTGTATCATCATCCTTAATGGGAGCCATCATTTTGTCTTTTGAGAAACAACTCCACAGATTGTTTTTCTCAAATATCAATTTACTAGATTCAAATATGCTTCTCACTTCAGCATCCAGTGAATTCTCGGATTCATGAAAACTATTAAATTTGTTGTCACTGGCACAATTCAGCTGCTTATCTGATATATTAGCATTTTCCTGATGGAAGCTCAAACCATTTGTTAACTCCTGCAAACCAAATCCATTTGAGACATCTGTAGCCCAACCAACTGTCAATTCAGTGTCAAGAGGAAACACACTGGTATTTTCATCAAAATCGACTATGAGTTCATCAAATGGATTCCTGGATACACACTTTGAAGATCTGGAGACATATTTTTCAGTGAAATCACTACAGTTTGAGTTAAGTCCATTGTTCACAGCTACAGTAGGAGGATTTTGTGTTTTTAATGGGAGAGGTTCTTTGAAGTCTTTCACAATGCACGAACTGTTATCAAATTTCACAGGTTCATCAAAAGCACCACTATTCAGCAACCCTTCAAGGTCAAGTTCTTCTTTGTTCCCATCTAAACAGGAAGCTGCTGCTTTCACAGGGGTGGCACTGCTTCCACGTGTTGCATCAACGTAGGGAAACTCAACACTCCCCGGTCCCAATTCTGGCAATGTCCACGGTCCACAGGTGGGCAGGGAGAAAGTAGGAGAGAGAACAGTTGGAGTCCCAAAGGGCGTAGAGAAGGATGACTTGACACTCCTGGTTGAAGAGGACTTCCTCTTCAGGACTGGCACATGGGAAAAGTCTCGGGGCTGTATACTGATACTTCCTGTAGAGGACTCCAGGGGAAAGCAACACTGCAACAGAAATAACAACAATTAAACATATATAATTGTGATTCCGTGATCTTGCACTAAGTGTACTTTTCCCAGCACATGATGTAAATGAATATGTATGTGTGCCTTTCTATGTATGTTGTCTCTCACTTAAAGTTTCAGAAAATTGATGCTTGTATCCAACTGAAGGGAATAAAAAAAACAAATATTTAAAAAAAAAAAATTAAACAAATTGAAGTCTATGGTACAGTAAAAGGACATTTGTACCTACATTTTCTGTTGTTTTAGGTTGTATTGTATCATAACATTATCAATGGAGCTGGAATTACTTGGCAAGATTTAAATTCTTCTTACAAGTGAATGTTGTTCCAAGATTATACATCACAGCAGCACATATTTAAGTGATTCTAGGCCACAAAACCATCACTAACAGGATTATCAGTAATGTACACAATCAGACAGGTTACAAATTGTAAGAAACCAATCAATGTGGGATTACAACAAACCTAGGATATTAGGGACCAATTTCCCCCGATTGGAAACTTAAGACATGCAATCAAAATAGTAAAAGAAACTGATCACCAGATCCATTTAGTAACCATTTACTGACAAGCATAGGTTAGTCGGTACCTATCCTACCCAGTCACAACAGGGACATGGGCAAATAAACATGTTAAACAGAATAAGCAAATCTGATGTTACATATTTTTTTTATCCACATGCAACTTGTTGTTATACTTACAGCCTTGTTCTCACACAACTGGATAGCTTCGTTGAAGTTGATCTGGTAGAACTTAAGCCGACTGTGACAAATTTTGCAAAACCTTTTGGTGCCCAAAGGCATCTGAAAAAATCAAAAGAATTAATAAGTACATAGCACACATATTTTTACAGAAATGTTGAGTTCAGCTATGACTAGATACAAACCTAAGGCACATTCGAAAAAATGAAACATAATCACATCTACTCATACAAACCATTAATTATTGTGTTGTGTTTCTTAGCTTCAATGATAATGCATGGTAGCAATATTTCAGCCACAGCATATATTGTCATTAAAATTCTATGACATACTGCATCTGCAAGGCAAATTTGTTTTACAGATAGATATTTCACATAACCTATTCTTGGCAGGCCTTGGGCAGCTAGTTGTGGTCACAAGATCCCCATTTTACACATTTTCCATAACCATGATAACAACTTAGCCATCGGACACAACTGGGATCTAGTTTTATCCATGAATCCCATTTGATGCAGACATATATGACAAATCATAGGTTGCCATAAATTGGTGGTGTTAACAATATTTTTGTGTTTTAGTTGTAGTTTAATGCCACACTCAGCTATATTCCAGTCGTATCATGGCAGTTTGGAATTAGTCATATCTGAGCCAGACATTGCAGTGATTGATATTATAAGCAAAGATCCATGTACAATGCCATTCAATCGGCCTGGTCACTGAGTCAGACTACCATATCCAATTCAATGCCTCTTCTGACCAGCATTGGTTGCTGGCTAGTGATGCTTTGGATGAGATTTAAGTCCTTTCAGACATTTTGGGAATGATTTTTCGTGTAAAAAACACACGACTTACATGCACATAGAATTACATTAATAAGGAATTATTTGAACTGTAATCTAAATTTTATAGAGTTTTTATGTATAGGAAAATTAGAAAACAAACTAACTAAGTGTAAGGCATATAGGCAAATGTTCAATGACATAATGTGTTTCTCTTGTACATATTGTTGAACAAGTATGTTGCTACACCTATTTATGACATTAATGGACATTTTCCCCCAAAGAGTAGTACTTTCATTAAAAATGATGAAATGCCAAAAGAATTATGGTACAACAAATAAAATGTATATGTGAATACAGAATACAGGATCAGTATCACCTGCAGATAAATTCTCTATGGATTTCTGTAAAGATATCTCTACTGTCATGCTAATTTTGATGATAATGTGAAAGTTGGGATAGTGCCTATTGTAATATCACTACAAAAATCATTGATGGAACAGAACTATTTTCATGGTCATGTGGATATTTGACTAGAACCTAATAGTAAATACTAATGTGTCTTTAGCCTAAAAGGCTAAATAAATAAAGCTTTTGGACCCATGAATGACAATGTAAGATCATCATAGCGCCCAAGCTTTGAAGATTGTGGCCAAAGTTCTGAGAACTGAGGCCATACTATATGAAGACAAATGCCATGACCATCTCACTGTTAGTGGAATACTTACAGAAGGTAACTAGCTCACACAGAATCATCGCTACTGCTCAACCTGCGTGCTCATTGGGGATTATATATAAAAAGAATATATATGTAATTTATCAATGTTCCCAGTAGTGACCAAATAAACCCGTCTTCATCTTTCAGTCCACAAGTATCAACAGAATATGTTCAAATCACTTTGATTAGAGAATTGTTATTTTTATGTAGCAGTGGCTACATTCCTTTCACGCAAAGGGGCCAATTTGAAATGTTGTCCACATCATTCATCCTGGCAGGTTGAAATTTGGTATTGACACTTCACATGCTGATTGCGTATATAGTAATGAATGAATCCCATGATCGAATCCCAAACATTTGCTGATAAACAAAAGACATAATTCAATAGCCCAATCAAGAATATGTCATTGAACATCAACCTTCACAAGCTGAAGTCACATGATTATCATGTGCATGAAAGTGACAACACTGAAGTTACACAGCTTGTAGCCTTTGGCAATGCCATGAAAAAAGCTCTCTTCTTCGTAAGGCTATGACAAGCCAGACGGACACAAGGCTTGAAAGCCCTTACCCTCAGATGCCAGTGTGGAATGGAATAGCAGGACAAACAGACGGATGGACGAATGGACGGACCTCCAATAAATTATTATTTATTTTCTTTATCTGCTCACCATTTTCACCCAAGTCCATTGTAAAGTTGATATCGCCTGCAAAATAGTCAAGATTATTGTGGACCTTTTGTGGGTAGGGTGCAAATCCCACAAAAGATTAATAGCAGTCATGAATGTTATGAGACATTTAACATATTCAGAGATTGTCAGTGTAGATAAAACATCTGGAAAGATTTCCTGTTTGATTAAACATAACAATTTTCTCTTTCATAATAGTCTTGTAGCAACTGCATGTTACTTTCACTCATTCATACATTTGAATAAGAGAGTAATTACTGCATTTCTAACAGGCGACATGTGTTAATAACATCAGCAGTAATTATACCTTTTCATCCTTTTCAAGATTGGCTGACTATCATTTTATAACTTTGAAACAGATAACTTCACAATGATGTTTACAGTCTATGCCAAACACTTTTGAATCAGCCTAATCTTATTACATGTGTTTCATTTCAATGGAGCTCTTTGCAAATGTATAGATACCGGGTATTCGGTAGCACACACCACAAAAATTTGAATTACGAGACACAGGCTTCAGACTACTGTCAAAATTAAAAAACTGTGGTTTGGCAACATGCCCGAACACTTCTGAATCTCCACAATTCCAATAAATCAACTGGGTGAGAAGATTATGTTGATATATTCTCACTTAACCAGTGGTTAAATGAGACAAATATAAATACATGTTATAGAATACATTGTACATATGTCAATCTGTATACTTAAACAAAAATGTAACGTGTTCCAATGACAATCCTTGCCCTGCGGAAATATCAAATTCTTAGGCATGTTGATCTACAGATCTAAAACACATTCAAATACATACGAATAAAACCACGCCGCATCGTTTACAATAGCCCATCTTGCCGCACATGCTGATGCTTGGGACATACTTGTCATAATGTTGTGGGAGTGTTTCGTTACAAATACGTTTTGGGTGCGTTAACTGATCGTTTAATCTGATTTCTCGCGAGAATGGGGACAACAAAGCAGACCATGTGCCCGGAAACGTACAATTGAGTCAAATAATTAATGTTTATACGACTGGTCTGTTGTGAAATGTGTGTGCATGATTCATAATAATCAAAAGAACATTTTTCATACCCTATAACGTCACTTCTCATCATGAGATTTTAGCATTTATTTCGTCTTCGAAATAACAATTAGAAAAGCCGACGCCATCTTGAATAGCACGCACCTGATTATGCATTATGGGTAAATTGTTTTGTGTACTTTTTTATTCTTGTTTAAGTTTCTACATTTTATTAGAAATTAAAGCATGCTCTTATAAATATCAAAATAAATGTATGCAATATATAAAAATGGAATTAGGGCATGATTCATCTTCGATGACTGCACTTTTTAAAAATTATGCGCATGCTCTCAGCTTCCTGGATATAGGAGGAACACCTAGACAGCGCCCAGTTCACACAAATCCGCCAATCACAACTGTGCGTCAGTCTGAAACATACCACAATTAGAAAAACAAAACAAAAGAGGATAATTGGGTATTTAAATTAAACTCTTCATATCCGAACGTTGCTTCTCTCCTACGCACAGACACCTTATAAATACTACTGAGCGCCCAACACATGCGCGTTGCTAATGACACGACATCTGTAAACAAACCGCAGCCGTGTCGGCATGACCCAGTTTTACACATACCTGGACGTAGCCATGTTTTGATAAATTACAGGTAAGATTCTTTTCACTTTACATTATAACCGATACCGACTTCTGTTGCTGTATATTTCAGGTATAACAATGTCTTAATTGGTTATTGAACAGCTTGTAATCTCCGTGGAGCTCAAAAAGCAATTTCGTTTGCAGGGGAATCGAGTCTCTGCTTGTTTGATAGCAGTTGTCTATGAGTCAGTATGAAGGTACATTGTATATCAGTTACAGCTGTCATTTGACACACTAAATGTAAACGATAACCACTGTGAATACATGCAATTTAATGAGCAAACTCGTTTATACATTTACGTCTTTACAAGGAGTAATCTGACCAGGTTTGAACTGACGAACATCAACCATACATGCCGATAACATATTTTCATACTTACTCAGATTACTCAGTATACGGTGTTGAAAACGAGCGTTTTACACCACAGTCAAATACCCATGAAATATAGAATATTAGCACCCACTATGTATTACTCCATATTTTGCTCCATAGACGAAAAGTATGACAAATGACCGTTCCTGGAAATGATACCAAACAACGATAAATTGTCATTCACGGCTACTAGAGAGCTTTTGTTTGCCCATAAGATCTTGCCTTGTCCGCACCAGATGCCACTCGAATGAGTAAGAAATGATGTTGTGTTTTGTGTTTAGATGAAGAATATTAGGGCATGTTTTCACTACATTTTGCTTTGTATAACTGCTAATCCGTCAGGGGACACACAGCAATAACGTATTTTACAACTTTTTGTCATAAACAAAATATTTGAAAATTACTTCAGAATGACCATAAATAGTATATGTATATGCCTTTAATTTATTAAACAAACGTTATTCATACAATACATCATTTGCCCCATCCTCGATAATCTCAAGGTTACTCCACCTGTTCTTGATGTATGTGTGTGTGTGTGTGTGTGTGTGTGTGTGTGTGTGTGTGTGTGTGTGTGTGTGTGTTACAGTAGCTATACCACAGCCCCCCCCCTAATTGACTAGATTTGGCTAATTACCCTGGAATATTTTCTTTATTCGTATACTACAGAAAAACTATTGAATCTTTTTCAGTTATTTCTTCTGATATGTTTAGACAACATATTAAAGTAAATAATGTGAAAAAATGGTGTTTGTTGTTTATTCAGTTAATTAGTGACAGTGAGGTGAATGTCAGTGCTACAGTATGTCAAGTTTATTGAATTGATTTTATTTAACTTTTTCATGAATGGTTTGATTTCAGGATCTTACTTCCATCTTTGTACCCACGTGACGTCATCGCCCGCATGATGTCAAACAAAGGTCTCGTTCTGACTGGTACAAGGCCACCATCCGTGAAGGACTTCCGGCCGCGCACGGCTCCAAGCGTCCGTGGTCAATATGGGTACCATACAATAGGAATCAAATCCAATGTGGATGAAACTTTGTTCAAATCACATAACCCTGGTCGGCTGTCAGAAGAAATCAACTTCCAGCCTCCCTGGTCATATAAAAAGAAGACCCCGGAGGAACAACTGATGAAACCTAAAGGGAGACCACTCTTGTGGGCACCGCAGCCGTCAGTGAGCCTAGACGGTAACATAGTATCAAACCACTGCGGTATTAAAACCAAAAATATAAATTCCATCTCAACGCAGAGCAAGCACAAGCTGTGGAAACACACGCCTACTTTCGTTGACGAATCGCTGTTTGGTCCTCGTCTAGAGGAGCCCAGTTTTGAAGCTCCTTGGGGAGAAAAGAAGGCGAAGGTTCGGCCATACTTTTGGGTCCCGGATCCTTCTCTGTACGATGACCTCGAAAACACGGAAGCTGTAAAAAAGACGCGCTACAGAGTGAGGGTTCGACCAAAAACAGCTCAGGGCACACGGAGCGGAAATGGGCTTGGAAATCCTAGACCGATTTGGAAGCCATGAACCTTATGTAGGACTGTTTTGAACAGTGTCAGACATCGTACACAAAGACACTACATGTTGTCCCTGGAAGACATCAGTATTCCGTTAATCTAGCTCAAAATGAAAAGAAGACCGGCTAGAAATCGCGTCCTAAGAGTATCTTCCTTCCGGACACTAACTTAATGTATTACTGGATGTGCAAAGGGATATCCATTGGAGTCCATCTTTAAGGTGGACTCAGTATACGCAGGACTGGTGAATACTCCAGATATGTTGAACTTGAAGACATATAGTCATCACCCGCATTACATTCTTGATGTTGTCTTACATGTCTGCAGATCACTGTATATTCAATTCGCATTCTTAGTCTACTTGGGGACCGCCTCCGTGGTGTAGTGGTTAGAGCGTCCGCCTGGAGAGCGGAAGGTCGCGGGTTCGATTCCCCGACCACGTCATACCAAAAGACGTTAAAATATGGTACTTGTTGGTCCCTGCCTGTCGCTCGGCATTAATGGGTACAACAAGGACTGGTCGGCTCGTAGTCAGTATAATGTGTCTGAGTAGGGTATTCATGCTTCACTGCGGCTTGGTATCTCAGTGGGCTAGCACTATAAAACCAGCTTCAGTCTGGGCTAGTACAGGCAGCCGCACCTACACATATACACGCATGCACGTCGTCATATGAGCGAAATATTCTCCAGCGCAACGTTAAACCCAATTCCACCTCACCTCACCTCATTTAGTCTACTTGGGGGTGGTGGGGTAGCCTAGTGATTAAAGCGTTCGCTCGTCTCGCCGAAAAAGACCCGGGTTCGATTCCCCACATGGGTACAATGTGTGAAGCCCATTTCTGGTATTCCCCGCTGTGATATTGCTGGAATATTGCTAAAAGCGGCATAAGTCTATACTCGCTCTCTAGTCTAATTGTAAAGCTTTAATAATTACTCGTTGCGTCAAAGGCCAGGAGCGTATGAACGGTTTTCAGTGTGTGTGGGGAGGCTAATTAATAAAAAGTATTGAAAATCAATATGAAGTTGTAGTTATGGTAAGGTAGATATGGTTTCATCTTGTAAAAAGTGGGGGGCTAACACCCCCCCCCCCCCCACCCACTGAAGGCCCGGATTCGATTCCCACGTGGGTGGTGCGCCTGTAATACCGCCTGTAGTGATATTACTGGAATATTGACAAGAGCATGCGTAATACCACACTCATTCACTCAGTGGGGAGCTCGTGTTGTCATGACACCGTTGTGGTAGGTTGACAGTTTGCATGAGGTCTGTGAAAATAGTTCCGAAATGATGTTGATCTTGCCAAACCCTAAGTTGCCGCACTCAGCAACATTCCAGCTATATGACGTAGTCTGTAAATAATCAAGTCCGATCAGACGATCCAGTGATTCATGTGTCCTCAGTGTATATGTTGACCTGCCATTGACTATGCGAGACTCACTACCAGATCCATTTGATCTCTTCTTACGACCAGTCTCTAATTCTAATTTGTCAGATACGTTGAACTTTCCAAATGTTGTGAGAATTCGCTGCATGTAAGATATCTTCAGAATTCAACTCACTTGGAAAATTCTACTGAATGGTTTAAATTTTCAAGATAAAGTAATTTCTGATTGGCGGGTAAAAAACCTAGTGTTTTCTACAGTATTATGATTGAAAGATGGTGCTGTGAATTGTGGTCCACGACTAACAAAATGTGTTTATAATGTAACGGATTGTTTGCGTTGCAAGTGTAAATTCTTTGCAATATCTTCATGTAGCAATTTATAAATGTTGAGAAGAATAGAACTTTTTCTTGAATGAATGTATTCATATGCTCTAATGTATACGCATTCACGTCATCATCCACATGTTACGTTTTTTTCATTTAAAAAGTCGATCATTTCCCTGCCATGGGCCGAGATGATGATTATCATACTTATCAGAGAACAATAACAATTATATTATTGTTATGTCTTTTGAAACGCAAAAGTTAAGTCATTTCCTTTTCCAGTTGATTGTTCTGTATTTTTTTGTGTATAGAATACACAAGTAAAATGTTGATTATTAAATATGATACAACAGACGACCCATTTCGTTCTTTCTGTACTCTAGCTCCGGCTACAGTTTGACAACCTATTAATAATATGTGAGCTGGGAGATTGTGTTTGGGGAAGACTCTCTATAGTCTGTTTGCAGTGAAAACGTACCGATGAATTTCAATTCAAACAAAAATGTAAATCAAATAAAGTGAAATTAAGATTGCGAATCCTCATAATTTTACCTTGCCATTTGAACGTTTTAATTTGAGAATTTCATTCAACTTAGGATAAAAGTTGTTTAACAAACGATCATAGTTTCAAATCGCTATTATTGGTTTGTATTACACGGGGGCATGCACATTATATGAAACACCGAGAAACAACGAGTTAACGCTCATCACGTACCGCACGTGCATTTGTTTCACTGTTCCAACTACTGCGCTTACCCCTTTGTAATACAAACCAGTAATAGCGATTGGTTGACACATGTCATCGGTTCCCAATTGCGCAGATCGATGCTTATGTTGTTGATCACTGTATTGTCTGGTCCAGACTCGATTATTTACAGACCGCCGCCATTTAGCTGGAATATTGCTGAGTGTGGCGTAAAACTAAACTCACTTTAAACGTGGTTGACGCTTCGAGAAGGGAGTTAACTCTTGCTGCAGTAACAGGATGTCTGTTACTGCAGCAAGGTGCGCAGCAAGGTGTGTGTGTTTGGTTTGGGATCCATCCTGGTTCCCGGGCCTCTCATTGGTTTGTATACAAACCAATGAGATTACTGATATTGACATGGCATAGTTCGGCGCACGTTTTAAGACAGTTATCTCCCTTGCACCGTCTGTCGGACCGGTTATGGTTCATCAGTACTTGTGCATGTGCGTACCATGTACGTGTTACTGCTGGAGACTCAATTATGAATAAGAATTTAAATTGTTCCACCTAACAATGTGGCTAAGTGGATTGACTCTAATTATGGAATTCATATTTATTAAGATCTATGCTCAACAATGACTAGTTCTATACTGTTACATGTCATACACAAATAATGTTCATCTAAAATTATGTTTAAAGATGGCCACCAGTTATCGCTGTTATCTACGTAATGACCGTTATCTGCCGACTGACTGTGTTTTCACGATAGAAGAGTGTGTTGGCCATGTGACAGCTAACACCTCATTCACCATTTCAATGAGGTCTACAGTTCACAAGTCAACAGGCTCACATAATACGCACAGCCCTGAAGCGTAAATTTTCACCAGTTGGATCTAAGTATTGATGTAACCATTTGAGGGCTTTGACTGACAGTTGACGTCTGTTCTCAAAATCCATGGAAAAAGTATCAGATAGAAAACTGACTGCACAACCGACACACTATGGAGGCAAATCGAGCATTTGGTTCGAGCTACAGTACCGTTACGTCTCGATAAGTACTGTCATGTGTTTTCCAGCCATGTGTTCTTTCACGAGCAGATGTTAGATGTTCCGTAACACGCGTGTAGCAAAACATCTTGATAACGCGTTACTCCATGTGATCAAATAAAGATGTCTCATTCGACAAACGCCCCTGTAGGTATAACAGTTAAACAACCATAAAGATTCTTGTCCAATAAGAGGCATCCATTTGATCACATTAAGGGGGCGGTTGGGTAGCCTAGCGGTTAAAGCGTTGGCTCGTCACGCCGAAAACTCGGGTTCGATTCCCCTCATGGGTACAATGTGTGAAGCTCATTTCTAGTGTCCCCCGCCGTGATATTGCTAGAATATCGCTAAAAGCGGCGTAAAACTAAACTCCCCTTTGATCACATGCAGTACGTTTATTTAATAAACGCACACTTCCACTCTAGCAACATTTTGGGAGGTGTATAGCTTAGTGGTTAAGACGTTGGCTCGTCACGCTGAACAGCCGGGTTCGATTCCCGCATGGATAGAAAATGAGAAGCGATTTTATGATATGTTGTCTCGTGATATGACTTGAAGCAAAGGTAAATCCATTGTCACATACTTCTAGAAGAATGATGGACGTGTTGTCTATACGTACAACGGACTCTTTATGAAGGATCTCTATATTGCTCTGAATGTACTGCACACGAACAAACACATGGCTTTGCCCTATCCCCAATGTTAATGCAATATATTCGTATGGAGCTTCTTACTAATACAATAGGATTATCGGTGTGTATGCTTTTGTATCTGTAATATGTGAAAAGATAAAATATAAAAAATAATGAACAAAATAATTATGGATAACAACTCTTTCGTTTTACTTCATTATGTTCCAGTGACGTTTTGGCATAGGTCTTTATACCCTTGTCTACCTATACCGTTATACCGACCCGTGAAGATCCGGGTTAGAATTGATCTTCAGTAACCCATGCTTGTCGTAAGAGGCGACAAACGGGATCGGGTGGTCAGGCTCGCTGATTTGGTTGACACATTTCATCGTATCCCAATTGCGTAGATCGATGCTCATGCTGTTGATCACTGGGTCGTCTGGTCCAGACTCGTTTATTTGCATACTGCCACCATATAGCTGGAATATTGCCGAGTGCGGCCCCAAACTAAACCCACTCACTCACTATACTGTTATATCATTTAAAAATGATTCAATCACTCGGTGTGCGCGCGCGCGTGTGTGTGTTTGGAAAACCGCAGCTATTGCTTGTTGATGTAATAGATGGATGGACTACATGGCCACGATATCCTTTGATGGCCTGTGTACTGCTTTCAGTTATGCAGTGGGAGTTGTTGGTGGATCTGGATGTTCTCCCAATTGGTGTTGTTATTGGGGCAGTTGCTAATATGGTCAGAGATGCTTGGTTTACTGTCTGATTTGATGGCTGAAGTCCTGTGCGCTTTGATTCCGGTGTTAACGGCGTCGACAGTCATCTCTACCTCAACAATTACCTAACCAACTTCGTCGACAATGTCATCTTTAACACAACAATTACTTAAAGTCGTTGAGAAATCGAAGCGACAAAACCGCTTCCACATCGGTAGGAAATCTCTGCTAAAAGCTGAGTCGATTGTACAATTTGGACTATGTAATTAACATACGTTCATGAATCGCTATCGAACAGTGATGGTATCAGCTGAAGGCGAGCATATCCTGGTGGTGGCACCTGTTATAAACAAATGCAAAAGCTGATCACTTGTACACCTGAAAACACACCTGGGAACATACGGTACAAGTCAAAACAGGGAATTGCATCGAACATCATTTTTAATCACTGATGCGTCAAATTTGGAAGTGTCCTCCTCTACCATAAAATATTTGAAAGCTTTACTGAGGCCTTGACTGTTGTAACCTTGATCGGACAACTTCTGAGCAAGACTCATATGACCTCTTTGAAATCTTGCATGCTCAATTGTACCTCAAAACACCAAAGGCTGGAGCTGTTGGAATATCAGGTAATATCACACATTGTAACCACATTCTGGTCACAACATCTTCGTGACAACTGTCACAGCTAGTGAAGTCACATCATTTTGAAACCACACATGGTCACACATTGTAAAAATGTCCATCCAACCCGTCGATGGTCATGATCATTGTAAAACCGTTTCCCATGGTCACACATTGTAAACCACACATTGTAACCATGGTCACACATTGTAAACCACCCATGGTCACACATTGTAAACACACACATGGTCACATGGTCACACATTGTAACCACACATGGTCACACATTGTAACCACCCATGGTCACACATTGTAAAACCACACACATTGTAACATGGTCACACATTGTAACCACCCATGGTCACACATTGTAACCACCCATGGTCACACATTGTAACCACATATGGTCACACATTGTAACACACATTGTACCATATGGTCACACACATTGTAACCACACATGGTCACACATTGTAACAAACTATGGTCACATATTGTAACCACACATGGTCACACATTGTACACAACCACCCATGGTCACACATTGTAAACCACCCATGGTCACACATTGTAAACCACACATGGTCACACATTGTAAACATCCATGGTCACACATTGTAACCACACATGGTCACACATTGTAACCATCCATGGTCACACATTGTAAACCACCCATGGTCACACATTGTAACCACCCATGGTCACACATTGTAAACCACCCATGGTCACACATTGTTACCACATATAACGATCCATGGTCACACATTGTAAGCCACCCATGGTCACACATTGTAAAACCCACCCATGGTCACATTGTAACCACATGGTCATGGTCACACATTGTAAACCACCCATGGTCACACATTGTAACCACCCATGGTCACACATTGTAATCCATGGTCACACATTGTAACCACCCATGGTCACACATTGTAACCACCCATGGTCACACATTGTAACCACCCATGGTCACACATTGTAAACCACCCATGGTCACACATTGTAACAACCCATGGTCACACATTGTAAACCACCCATGGTCACACATTGTAACCACCCATGGTCACACATTGTAACCACCCATGGTCACACATTGTAACCACCCATGGTCACACATTGTAACCACCCATGGTCACACATTGTAACCACCCATGGTCACACATTGTAACCACCCATGGTCACACATTGTAACCACCCATGGTCACACATTGTAACCACCCATGGTCACACATTGTAACCACCCATGGTCACACATTGTAAACCACCCATGGTCACACATTGTAACCACCCATGGTCACACATTGTAACCACCCATGGTCACACATTGTAAAACACCCATGGTCACACATTGTAACCACCCATGGTCACACATTGTAAACCACACATGGTCACACACATTGTAATTGTAAACCACCCATGGTCACACATTGTAAACCACCCATGGTCACACATTGTAAACCACATATGGTCACACATTGTAACCACCCATGGTCACACATTGTAAACCACCCATGGTCACACATTGTAACCACCCATGGTCACACATTGTAAACCACCCATGGTCACACATTGTAACCACATATGGTCACATATTGTAACTCCTTGTGTACAGTGTAACCGTACTTTACAATAAGCCCAT